TTACTACAGTAGACATATACTGTATACCTGTTCCTTATTGATATCATATAGCATACTAAGTGTTACTTAATAAACTTAGGGCACATAACACTACATTTATAGATGAGTAGTAGACAATGCTATACAATATTGTATATATATTGTCGTTGCATTATTCCGGGTCTACCCTTTAGGCCATACTTTACCCAAACTCATGGTCCCATTACTATCGCACGTTTTGACATCAATTGAATCAGTCATCCATCAGAAACTAGTGGTGCGCGGGTTTTAAGACTCATTTTAAAAAGAAAAAGAGATAGCAATTGAAAATATCTACAAATTATAAAACTATTATATATAGAAAATACTCTAAAATTAAATATAAAAATATTTTTATTATCTAAACACAATCTAATGACATTTTTTTACAAAAAAATATCAATTACATCTATGACTTTTGCATCACTACTTTTGAAAGTGCATTACGAGAGAAAAATACACTTAAAAATATTTAATAATTTATTGATATTTTTTTTACTTTTTCCCATTATTTTTAAACAAGCATTTTATTTCTATTTGGACAGTTGATATATCATACCTCAAGTGCCCTCTTATACTTTCACATACTTTTCCTTGTCTCTCTCTCTCTCTCTCTCTCTCTTAACTGTCCGTACAATAATATCATTAGTTTTGATATACGTGTGAAGTGAAGCAAAAATAGATGACCCATACATAGCAATGTCAACAACAACAACACTACTAATCATTATAATGAGTATAAAAATAATAATAATAAACAGTATTTTTGCCGAAACTCTCTCTCAATTCATATAACTGTTTCTCTCAATTGAAAAATTTCTAAATTTATTCAAACAGTTATTATGTATTCAATAGTTTTTTGTAAGCATTGAATGAAAAAACTGCGGAAGTATAAGATGTGTGCACTAAAGGGAAAAAATAGTTGCTCTTCACTGGCAGTGACGGCACAGTCTGGTGCTAACTGTTCCCACGATATGCCTCTCTCTCTTTCTTTCTTTCTTTCTCTCCACTCTTTTTATCCAATATATACAGTACAAGAAATATCAGGTCTTGTATTATTGCTTTTCTCTCATATATTAGTCATTGTATGCCTAACTCAGTCTCTCTCCTTCTCTACTCTTTTTTCCCAATAATAAGATATTGCGGTTCTCTTTGTTTGTTCTCTCTTTGCTCTCTATTTGTGTAAAACCAGACATAAGAGAGCATTGGAGAGAAATAGAGAAAAACTTAGTTCAAAATCAAAATCAATGGCGTTATATTTGAGAACTAGAGAGAGAGAGAGAGAGAGAGAGAGAGAGAGAGAGAGAAAGAGAGAGAGAGAGAGAGAGAGAGAGCAAAGTACTGGTTCTCTCTTTAGGTACTGAAAATGTGATAAAAAGTAGTATTGGGTATGTGTATGGGCGCATGTGTATGTGTGGGACAGGCATAGAGGACTGGTACCATCTGCAATATCAGCAATGGTTATTGCACTTGACCTAAATAGCGGTGCGGAAGACTTCTGGTACTGGTGTTTGCCACTCATGTATGCACTCAAAGTGCTGTAAGATATTACAAAAATAGGAAGAAACTGTACAAAGATTTTAAGCTAATTTTCTCTGAATTTTTTGTTAAGTCCTAAAAGGCTGAATATACTGTATATGACTGTATTGTGTGATAAAAATGCAGATGTTTTTAGCACTGATTTATAACTGTTGCCTCCTTTCTCTTTATTCAATGTTGTGGTCATCAGTCAGACTATCATTTAGAGGGCCAGTCAGTCGACACCAAAATTAGACAAATGATTATATATTGGTTTCATTATTTTTATCTACTCTTTTGTTCCCTTAATTTAGTAAAATACATATTACTCTTTGAGACAAAAAAAATATTTTTAGTTATTTTTTGGTTTCGTTTAACATAACTTTTTTTTAAAAGTTTAGACTATATAATTAACTGCTGGTCCTCACTCTCACTAACATTACTTTCAATAACTCTAAATACTATTCATATGTAGTTTTATAAAATGTAATTATTTTTATGATTTTTGTTTAAAATATTTTTTGTTTGAAACAATCTGCACGTCGTTATAATAAATAAAACTAATTTCTGGATTATTAGAGCCTAAAATATACTGTATTTTGTATTTTTTGTTAGCAAAATAAAAAGGATTGCAATCTTCAAAATTTAAGCATTTAATTTATACGCTGTATTTGATAAATAATAATAAATAAATTAATGGTATGTATTATTTCGTGTGTGTAGTTATTTAGCCTTCAAATTAATATCGAAATCAAAATGAAATGCGATATAGAAAATCAATTTTAAGGTCAGAGACAGTAAAAATTATAAGAATAATAATAATATTAATATAATATAAAATGAAATCGAAATTAATTATAATAATTATAACAAAACTATATGAAACTATAGTTAATAAACTAAACTAATAGTAAATTAATAGAAAATAACAGTCAATTTTTGTTGTTTATTTATGGCCTTCAATGCGATTAAGAAAGTGTGAGAGAAAGTGTAGATTTAATTTGATAGTCACTCCATTCACTTACTCACTCACCCGCACTACAAGTTATTTCATTAGGAAATACATTACTTATTATAACATGTTCTCCACCTTTAAATTATAAATAAATGATAAGTTAAAAAATATAAGTTTTTAAAAACTTTTCTTTTAATATTAATATTTACTTAAAAAGCAAAAAATCTTGTTTTTTCTATCAATTTATCGCTTATGTTAAGTTCTCTCATTTACTTTGTTATTATTATTATTATTACTGATATTTTCAATCGCAATGTCAAAGTCATTCAAAACTTATGCCAAAAACTTGTTTTCACGAAAGAAAAGACGTTTTTGTTCCTGTTTTTTGTTGTTACTTCGTATATATACTATAATATATATATATATATATTCAGATTATTTAAATACAGTATATTATGTTATATGAATTGTATTGAAAATTGCTTTATTTCATTTGATAATATTATTCATAGTGTAAGTTTCAATACAAATATTAATTATGTGACTAAAACAAAAAGGCGTGTAACAAATGTTTAACACTTTTCTATGTAATATAATATTCAATATTTCAACATTTAATAATAGTATTTTATAATTTAAATCTTTAGATTATAATTTTATAAATTCAATTACATTTGTATTACAACTACATCAAATATTAATTTAAATAAATAAATAAAAACAAAAACTTGTTTGCTAAATTAAATTAATATTGTCTTACATATGTTTTACAAATATTTCAAAATTTTATTATATAAATTTCATTATAATTTAAGGTCGTTTTGTATTATATTTGTTATTAATTACTAAATATACTTTTAAATCTTATAAAGAAATCAATAGAGAGAAAGTGAATAACAAGAAAAAATGAAATAAATAATAAAAATGCAATAAAACAAATAAGTTATTTAAAAATACCTCTCACATCAACGTATATATAATAATATCTAAATGTTTTCACTTGAAAAATATTTAGACTTCAAACTTTAGGAGCAATTAATTATTAAGCAGTCCTTGAAGTTTTRTATCTTATTGTAATAATGTTTTATATATCTGATAGATTATTATTGATAAATTTTTGTGGTGTAATATAATATGAATATTACTTTATAAATTATAAATATATAAAGTATTGATTAAAAAATATTATTTAAAAAAATGATGTATAGCATTAAATTATTTGTTTRTCATATTTGAGACAACCCGTCCTTGAGACCAGCAGTCCCAGTGCCCAAACAGACCCAATCCTTTTATTGTGAAAAGCAATAGTGAAAAGAAATGGACAGTTATGTGTTGGCAGTGAATGTATTTTTATTTACAAATAATATGTTTGTATGCCTTCATAAAGGGCAGAAYGCGGAAGAATTTTCTCAGATCTCAATGTTTTTTAGTTTTTTAATAGTAAAAGTGCGAGCAATGGATGGGAAGGGAAGTAAAATGTTTTAAATAAAAGATAAAATAGGAGAGAGTTCTCTCTCTCTCTCTCTCTCTTTCTCTCTCTCTCCATAATATATATATATTGACGAAAATACTTTTCCGTATACATCGATATATGATAGCAGAGCACTGGGAATAAAAATAAGGGGATTACAGTCTCTCTAAGTAGAGGTTAGAGCTTTCTCAGCAATCTCTCTCTCTCTCTCTCTCTCTCTCCCTTCACTCTCTCCCTTTGCCCACTCACTTACTCACACTCTCCCAGTATGACTGTCTGTATTTAACTCCAACCCTCAGCAATCTTTTCCGGATACAGTTATAGCCCTTTTTCACTCAAAAAAGTAGTAAACAGTGATTTTATTGGGCTATTTGTACATTGATTACAATGTTATTCTATGGTATATATATATATATATGACCACTGCCTGGACAGGACCGGCCAGACATTCACTTGTTTCATCCATTCACACATTTAGTCGATCAGTCAGTCACTTGTCAGACACAGCACTAAGAAACATGTATTCAGTCTCTCAGTTAATGTCTGATGGAAAGGTAGCTAAAAGTTGAAAAGTGGATGAGTTATAGTAATATTTTTGATGCATTAAAAAAGTTTGTGTTTTCAACTAATGCTGACTTACTTAACAAAACAGTTATTTGTTTTATTTCATGTTTTTGGTTATATTTATATCATTTTGAAGAAGCAGTAAAACAAAATTTTTATATATTCTTATATATTCTTATATATTGTTTTACTTTTTACACTTAAAAATGATATCATTTACATTCCTCGCTATATATATTTGGGTCATTTGCTTTTGATGGGACTTTTGACTGTCCATTAAAGTGCTGTTTGTTTTTATATTTATATAAACCCCAAAAAACAGTTGTCATATGAGAAGCACTCATACCTAATGATGACTTGCAAGTGATGACTACTAAAAGAGCTCTTTCAACACTTTAAGCTTATAGTGAAACAACTGAAACATTTTAACAGTGAAACACATGAGTGAATCTGTTCTCACTTTGCCATCAATATTGTGATACAACCATAACTTTGTGATACAACACTTTATAACAATAAGGTATTCCCTTTTAGTCTATTTTAAACATTATTTGCATCAACTGATTGTTTTATAATGTTAAGCTTTTATGTATTATACAGTAGTTTATAAAATTTATATACAGTATTTAAATGAGATATTTGAGTATTTATATGATAGTAATAATATACTGTTGTTATAAAAATATATATAATTTTTAGTCAACAATATCGAAAACTACAATATCTAATGTAATGTATAAAATAACATTTTGATTTCTAATAGTAATAAGTTAATAATTACATTTTATTTAACTATTAAAAACTTTCAATTGATTTTGTATGACTATTATTGTATTTATATAGATTATATCCATGCTTTCCCACCACTCTCTTTAAAATTTTTTATCGATCTCTGAGACTATATTTTTATTTTAAAAACTTGCCATATGTTTATGGTTTATTGCATTTGATGAGAATTTTTGTAATAAAAGTGACGATAACTACAACAGTATTTAATGTTTTTTTTAAAAAAATACACCACTTTTTAGTGTGGATTGGGAGGGAATAATAGTTGAAAAACTTTAAAAACATTTGGCTTTATATAAGTTGGTTATATAACTTATATTTATATCTAAAAAGTGCTATAAAATTGAGGTAATTTTGTTATAGCAAGTGATGACATGTATTACATGCTGTGTTACTTTACTCTCTCTCTCTCTCTCTCTCTCTCTCTCTCTCTCTCTCTCTCTCTCTCTCTCTCTCTCATCATTCATAGACTCACTCACTCTCTATATGTATGCCATAGAGTAGTGGACTTTTTGATTACTTGACTGTATAATCCATGTGACATATCTCTACTCTATTTATGCCATATAATGCTAAAACATTGACGAAAAGTCCCATTTATGTGTTATCCTCTATTACTCCAAATGCATCACATTTATTATAAAGTAAAATATAAAAGCTTATAAAATAAAAAAGTAAAATATAGTCATAAAATGTTTCCACAGTTTACTATCATTATTATAGCCACTCCTTTATAAATATATATGATTGCTTGGTTGCACACAACTGTCCATTTTAAGTGATTTGATTTTAATGTAATGTTTTACATTTTAACAGACATTATACCATTTGGTAATACATATTCAACCGAGACTTAAACGACAGACAAAAGCGGAACAAGAAAACCGTCTCTTTATTGTTGATATTATTTCTTAAACACTTAACAAGTTTATTGTAAGATAACCACCGGCGCACTCACCACTCAAACTGACCTTATCTTACAATAGAGGAATGAATGCACATTTAAATTAGGGTAAGTACTAAAAAATTGTTAACTGTTTTCTCAATACCCAATGTCCTGTCTTACAGAAACCGTATTTTCTTATAGAAAACTTATATTCAAGTGAATTAAGTGTCAATAGATGTAAATTTATTTAACAATTTTGCAGATTGTTATATATTATGTAATGCAATCTTTGTGTTCACAATTTTTGCATTATTTGTATTTTAAAATCTCTCTCTCCCTCCCTCTCTCTCTTTCTCTCTCTTTCTTTTTTTAACTTCATTATATAATATCTGTTAAAAATCTATATATTTTATTGTAAGAGCTATGAGATGACATTAGATTGAATGTAAGACCCGACAAGTTTAATACTGAGCCCAGAGGTCTAGGACTTGACATTGAAAATCGATATAAATTGTGTGAATTGAGGGACACATTGTTGTGGATGAATGACAGTAGTTTTAAAATGCCTTCACTTATGTCCATATATATGGTGCACACCATTCATATGTTCATTATAGCCAATAGTGAATTATTGCGGCAATTGTGTGCATTTTATACAACAAATGTGTGTATAAATTGTCTGAATTGTACTCAACTTTACATAACTTTTATTTGACAAAAGCGGTGGTGACATAACTCACACAATATAGACAGTTATACCTTATCCCACAAAATAGTCTCCCGGAGTGTTATGTAACTCTCATATCACTATATTTTTTAGAAATACATAAAATTTATAAACATTATATAATATATTATATAATAAAAGAGAGAAATATATATATATATACATAGTTTGTCTAAAAATACAATATTTGTCAATTGAGTTGATCTAAAATTTTTTGCTTCAATACATCTTTTTGATAAACAGTGCTATAATTTGGAGTCGACAGTCCTGTAGATGCATACATAAGCTCTATTTCAATAGGACTGAGCAATACATTGAAAGAGTAGAGTTAGCTCTTACTATACAATGCAATAGAAAGAGATATCAAAATTTCATTTAACAGTTAGAGATAAAAATATAAATTGAAACTAAATTAGAAACCCATTCTCTAGTTATATTATTTGCATCCATTCAATAGGGGATCAGCTTATGGTGACAATGACTTAAATTTGTTAAACGTATTAAAGAGTGCTTTACTATACGACACATTTTGTGGTATCACATGAAATAACATCACTAGAGATATAACACCATCACTATCTCTATCCTATATTTTCTCTCTTATTCATCTATTTATTTGATAATTTAATAAAAGAAAATGAAGTTTTTTTTTGGTTTTCCTAATTCTTTACTTTAAATCCCTGATCGGATTTAATGAGCATTTTATGTGTCAGTTATATATGTTTTAACAAAAGAAATTCAAACTGTTTTGGGTATTAAACTGTTTTATTATATAGATTTAAACAAGAGATTGAAATTTTGTCACTTAAAAGCACTTTTATTTATAGTCAAATGTTCGCACAAAACAATGGTTTCTATAGATATATAGATTGCTTTTCTCATTTATATCGGAAAGTGAAGTGTAGTATAGTGTGTATTATTCTATGTGAACCCATAGATATAATTTACTAACACTTTATATGATAGGATTTTTTTTAAAGAAAAGCAACGATTATTTTATTATTTAATAATGAGATTGAATCAAATGAGATGACATAAAGATACCAAATTTATACAGTATATTCCGTTACATTCATTTATACTAAATATCTATATATTGTATAAGTATACGGTATATACTGTCTAAATAAGTCTAGAGTTTATATAACAACTGACATTTGGTATGGTATGGTATACTAAAACATCACCTTTTGTGTGTTGACACAACTTTTTAATATAAAATGTACTTTTAATATACACCGCTAATAAAGTGATGCATCAAAACGGGACTATAATTCAGTGGTCCATAGATCTAGTGTTTGACAACTCATTTGGGAATAACATAACAAGTGTTTGGCATTTGATCTGATTTTGATAGTGAATAACATGATTGCCTGATGTCTACAGAAGCGTTAATTGTTTACACATTTATATACTATATATATAGCAGTATATGACATAATGCCATTGCTATTGTATACATGTTTTTAAAAAAATTGTGTGAAAAGCTCTACTCTTTTTAATAATTTTCAATTACTTTATATTATGAATGAAAAGAGAGATTTTTCTGTTTATTTTGAATCACTTTTTCTTTTGAAAGCCGTATTTATAACTCAAACAAATAGTTCACTCTCTTTGTATAAATCACTTAAATATATTTCTGTCACTTTTATATTCATTTAAAACATCTATTAATGAAAAAAAGTCACTAAAAATTTTCGGTTTCAATGAAAAAATCTTTTTTTTCTTTTAAGCCTTATTTTATCAATTTTAAAAGTTTTCACTTAAGTGTGTAAACTTTCTTTTCAATTTAATTTTAGATACATTTATTTGTTGACACTTTTTATATACTTTATATACTATACATAAAATTTGATATACAGTAATACTGTATAAAAAATATATTAAAAGTTTATATTATTTATAAACAATATATATATATATATGTTTTTATCCGACTAAACATTTCAAATGAATAAATATATTATTTACTAAATGTTTGAATATAACAGTAAAGATTGAGTTGTAGTATTGATGAGTACTTTGTCCCAATCGACACGTTCTCAGCTAACCATTTGATTCAATCATATTATCGTATATTTACTAATCATTTGGCCAAAGATTTGTCTGTCGCCTCATATTAACAACTAATATAAGTTTACATTTTAAATGTTAACTTTGAATATTAATCATTATTTTTGTCTTTCATTTGATGAACACTTGTTTTTCAATTAATAACTATAAAAGAGTTTTGTTTTCATTTGAGTACAAAAATTAAGTTTTTCTTTTAAAATACACATTTATTTGACCAAAAAGTCAAAAGTTTTGAGTTGAAGGAAAAGAAGAAGAAGAAGAGGAATGTCTGATAACACCTTTCTATCCTTGAATACAACTGTTATAAGTCTTCAATGATGTCGACATTTAAAAAGTTGTTTTCAATTTAATAATCATTTCTTATCATTTAAATTATATTCACACTGTTTGAATGTTTTTAAAATTATAAAGTTTGTCATACATTATATGTTTTCATGTATCTTAGTTGTTATATATCTGATAATATAAAAAATACTACTTAATATTATAATTTAGATATATTTTAATTCAAATTACTACTGGTTTCAGCTTTATATATATAACTTCTAATTATTGATTTATTTAAAATTATAAATTGTTTTTTCAATAATTAAACATTTTTAAAAAACAAATAAATTGTGATATTAGACTTTTAGTTTCTTTATTATAATGTTGTTTATTAACTTAATTAACAAAATTATTATTATATGCATTAGATATAGTAAGGGTAATGGGCTTACAGTTCACGTTATTTTTCTGTGCTGTTTATCATCAATACTATAGAGAGTATATTATAAGAGAAAAAACTAAAAGTGCACCGTTAGCTGAGTGCTGGTATGTCAATATGTCTGTGCTTAAAAAGAAAGGCTTCTTATCAATAATATTTGCTATTATTTATACCATACAGTTATTATGGGTGAGATATGATATGATATGACTACTATTACTTTTTCAAGTTCAAGGCAGTCCTTTCTCAGGGACGTATTAATGCCCCGACATTTCATGCCATTACCTAACACCACAATACAGTGTACACACCACTCCCCATATGATTATAACGGTTTACAATACATCCTAATGTAATATAATACTGAACTAAGATTTTCTATATATTTTTATCAAATTAAAAAAAATATTTTGTCAAAAAAATTTATTGAAAATTATGACTATTAAATAAAATATAATATTAATTAATTTGAAAAATATTTCATTGAATTATTATTGATTAGGAGGCGGTTGTGAATGGGGTACTAATTTCTATTAATTGTATTTCATTGATTACCTGTCCTTATTGTACTTTTTATAATACAATATAAATACTGAGCTTTGTTTTTAATGACGTCCCATACCTTAAATCAATAACCTTTTAGTGCATTAGAATTTTGTTTTTATTAACAGTAATCAATTTATATATAAATTATATATATATATATATCATAATGTATATCATTTAAAGTGAGTGTCATATGAGATGTTTAATTTAATATATATTTTGTATGAACTAATTAATGATAACCCATAGCCAGTAACCTAATTTTACCTTGAACATAATTTATACTAATACATAGCAATCTGTTAATTTTTTAAATATTAGCAGTCAAAACAATTTTTTCAATACGAATAAAATATATTTTTTATTACTATTAACCATTAGATGTGTAATATATAGTGTATGAGTACAACATATATTCAAATGCAGTACATTTATACAGTACTGTACTTTATGTTATTTTCTCTTTCTTTAACTAATTTGTTTCAATGCAATTCACATAACTTTATCATTAAATTGAAAGCTTCTCCAAACAGACTATAAATACAGGTCTGCGACCGATAAAAAAGCTTTTTATAATTGTTTATTGTATAACTGTTTCACTGATATAATTTTATTTCTAGTTCATAACAATTTTTTTGTGATATTCACAACTTCTTTATGTATAATAGAAATGCTATAATAATTTATTTGAAATAATAATTAAAAATTATATATTTTTTAGACATAAAAATAATTGAAGAAAATATAGTATAATGAAAATTGGTGCACAAAATCAAAATTTTTCCATTCAATTATAGTTATATAAACAATACTATATAAGTAATCTACTTATAATAAAGGCCTACTAATTAAAAACTATTTATGTCTATTGCATATACAGTGATATTATTATATTATACTGTAGATGGATAATGTCATATCAATAACAAATAAAATTGTTACATCTACCAAATAGTGGTTACTATAAATTTAGTACATATAATAATAATAAATAGACCAATAGACCTTGCTCACTGTATTTAATATATTATTATTATTTATATTATTACCTTCACCTTTAGCAGATAATTACTATAATCTCTCTCTCTTTCTCTCTCCCTCTCACTTTGGCTCTCGTAATGTATTAATCAAAAGTAATCAAACATTTAGTGTTATTCTCTCTCTACTTACTATATGTAACATAAATTCTTGTATTTTTGTAAAAATTATTAAAAGAAATACATTTAAAATAGTTTTAAAACTTTATCATTAATGATCTCAATTAAATAGTTTTATTTTTAATTCAGTTAATAAAAAAATTCTTTATTAAATTTATATTTAGTAGCAAATAAATATAAATATTGTGATTGTTAATTATTTTTAAAATGTATAAATAATAATAATGTTTATAAAACTTATATTTGCAAATTAGTTGTTTGTTTTGAATTAACTTTTATTAACAAACTTGTAAAAATTATTTACAATGAATTTAAATTAATTTTACAATTAAAACAATGAAACAAACTGTAATTAATATATTTGTTAATTTGACATTTTTTAAATAATTATTTTCGAGAATATTTATTAATTGTTTATTTGTCAACAGTTCCAGAGGATGGAAGATGTCGTCTGGGACTTGAGCTCAATAGCTGAAGAGGATTTTGATCAATTAGCCGTATATTTAGTACCCGATCAACCATGTGATGATACGACCCATAAGAGTGCAACCAATAGATCTGAGGCCAGTTTGCCTCGCAATCTAATACTTAAACCCTCGCAGACACTCAACGATGTAAGTACAGTATAGTTATGCAGTTTAATCATATAATCAGAGTATTACTAGTTTTATGCGTAAAATTTAATCAAAACGTGTGACTAATGTTTGTCTATTATGGCATTCCTTGTATATCCAGGTTCTTGGTGTTTGGAGCACAGATTACATCCCCAGAGGCACACGTTTTGGGCCATTGGTTGGAGAAATTTATGATAAGGACGAAGTGCCCAAAGATGCCAACCGAAAGTACTTTTGGCGCGTCTATACCGGAGCCGACAGTTACCACTACATCGACGGCTTCGATGCGTCCAAAGCGAATTGGATGCGTTACGTCAATCCGGCGTATAGTAATCAAAGCCAGAACCTGGTGGCGTGTCAGGTCAAACAAAACATCTACTTCTATACCATCAAACCGGTGCTCCCGAATCAGGAGCTCCTCGTCTGGTATTGTAAAGAGTTCGCCGAAAGACTCAATTATCCACTAACTGGTGAACAAATGCTTATCAAAATAAGTGAGTCTTACTTTAAAAACAGTCTTTTTTATTAATTTATTGATTTTAATGGTGTTTCCAATCTTTCAAATCTTATTATAGGACAACAACAGGAAGATTTCATGTCACATAATACCAGACTGACTCCCACTGAAGGCAGTACAAGAAGCGATGAGGGCTACCACAGTCATCATGATCTTCATGACGACCATTTGACACCTGAAGACAGTAGTGATAGTGATAATGATAACTATGTACTCGATTTAAGGGCAGTTAAACCTAAAAAGTCATCCGTAGATAAAGAAAAAGAAAAATTAAAAACAACTAAATCTGAAGTATTATTATAAATATTTAAATAAATTATTTTAAATTAAAATTTAATATAAAAATTTTTCCATTAGATGGAAGATAATGAATTCCGAATGGTTAAGATAAAGATGACAAAGGCTTACCACTATAGGACGTCTGGTAGTCCACCAAATAGTAAACGAAGTATTAGTGCCGATGCCGATGACGAAGAGGAAAGACATCTCGTTATCGCTGATAATATGATAAACAAGAAGAAAGATGACTCTAAGCTCTACTCAGTTGCCGACCCTACGAGCCCGACATACGGCGCGAGTCCTAAATTTACGACTGAAGATAATATTGCCGATTCTCTGAAGCCCATGACAGGCGGTGCGGCGCCAAACTGTTTACCCCATTCCTCACCTAAAAATAGTAGTGAATCGGCATTTTCAGTGCCAGAAGGCATGTTTCAGCGCATCACTAATGGAAATAGTAGTACGAGTCCTAAATCACAGTCAGCTAACAGCACATCTACGGGTATTCTCGAGAATCTTTTAATACAGAGATTACATGCAGAAAGGGTGGCCGCGGCCATACAGATAGCCGTAACCACTGCTAATGGCATGAATGCTAATACATGCCCACCCATTGGTAACAAATTTAATGGTGTGAAAGAGCCGGTGCGGGTAATTGTCAACGGAGATAGTAATAAGTTAGTCATCAATGACAAAAATACCACAAATGGTATTATCAACAGTACGGGGCATTTGAATTCTACGGGTAGTCCTAACAATAGAAACAATAGCCAAGAGGGCAAACCACATGTCATGTATTCACATAAGAAAAATTACGGACGTTTTGTTAATGGCAATAGTCCTGAAATGCATAGTCCGGACTCCACTGACAAAACTAATGCCTTAAATGTAGTCACATCTGCCGGTTCTGGTAGTCCTCCCGGATCGACATTTCCACCGATGGGTCAAAATGCAAGCAATTACTTATATGTTAATAATATGACACCATTGTTTTCTCCGGGACACTTTAATATGTATGCATATTCAACAATGGCACACGCGGCCGGACTACATCCCAGTCCACCCGAGTCTATTCATCCGACACATCATTTGAATGGACGAACAAATGGTACGTCTCACTTCCAACACCCGAAAATCCCATTGGGTATTGAATACCCAGCGGCGCACTCTCTGCTTCGATCTCCCCTTAGTATTGACCCGAAAAGTCCATACGCCAGCGCCCGAAGTAATGGATCCCCATCTCCTCCCTCATCAATAGCATCAATATCGGGAAGCGGCGGATATTCACCCAACAGTTCCAATCGTGGCTATCGTTCTCTTCCATACCCACTGAAGAAAAAGGACGGAAAAATGCATTACGAATGCAATGTTTGTATGAAAACTTTCGGTCAGTTGTCTAACTTGAAAGTACATCTGCGAACTCATTCTGGTGAACGACCCTTTAAGTGTGGCACCTGTTCCAAGAGTTTTACACAATTGGCTCATCTCCAGAAACATCATTTGGTACACACGGGAGAGAAACCACATCAATGCGATGTTTGCAAAAAGAGGTTCAGCTCTACCAGCAATTTAAAGACACATTTGCGCTTACATTCCGGTCAAAAACCATATGCCTGTGACTTATGTCCGGCAAAGTTCACCCAATTTGTTCATTTGAAACTACATAAGCGACTTCATACCAATGAAAGACCCTATACCTGTCAGACGTGCAATAAGAAGTACATTAGCGCCAGTGGTTTGAGGACTCACTGGAAGACGACTTCATGTCAGCCAAACGCAGTTCAGGGAGAGTTCATAGATATGGAGATCAGTCGAAGTAATTCTGTCTTTTCTAACGGAAATTATTCCGATTATATGATGAATGGTAAAGAGTCACCCATTTCTGGCAGTGGATTCCATGATAATGGATCACTCAATGGTTATGAAGACGAGGAAGACATCGATTGTGTGGACGACGATGAAGAGGAAAGCATTCAAATTGATGATGACGTAGACTCGCGATCCACACCTCATTCAATGCATTCATCCTCTGATGTCAGCAAATATATGACAAACAGTACAATCCGATCGGCACTGACCAACGGTACCGGTAATGGCGATTCAAACGGCAGTTTAATGTTGGGAAACGCCGGTAACGGGACGCCTATGATGAGCGCATTGGTTGGTTTGGCCACCACTGCCTCGGATGAGCTCTTGAGTAAGTCGTGTACGACAGCAGAGAGACAACATTCATCCAATCCTAACAATGATATAAAGCCTCCGCCAGAATGTAAAGTCTGAAACAATTGATTCATCATTTCATTCATACTATCGTTTAATCTTTTATTTATTTATTAATGTTTTTACAAAACAAATGCCATTTTTAACATAAATTTATTTTATTATTAATTTAACATTTTATTATTTATTGGCTGTGATTCCCAAATGTTTTTTTGTGTGTACCATAAGATTATTTTATTATATTATATATTTTAAGTTATTAATTGTCACAATTCTCGTCTACACAAATGTTATGTTATATTTATATTATATAAATTTATTGTTCACTTTAATTCATTCACATATTCAATCAATTCATACACTTATATAAACATTTCTCAAACATATTACAAATATATTAATGAAATTATTTAAACAACAAATTACTAATTGAATAGTAATTATTTTAGTAAAAGTTTAATAATTTAATATTATTGAATTTTTTATATTAATAGTTAATATAATTTATATTTACTATAATAATTAAATTCAACATTTAATTACATTTTTGTTAGTTTWAAAAAATAAAATAACAATTGGCAACATTTGGATAGTTATCTAATGTTAATAATTGTTTCTGTAAATTAAAATCATGTATAAAAACATTGAGAAAAATAATTGATAAGATTTGCAAACGTATGATAGCATTACTGCCATTTGTAATGTTTTTAATTTAACTGAAAACACAAAATATATAAGAAATTGTTTTATTATAATATAAAACAAATAGCATTCGTGCAACAAATATGACTGTGAATATCAATAACTAAATACTAAAGATTTGTTGTTTCATTGAAAACAATACAATATTTACATAATTAAGAAGTTCCTGACTATTATTCTATACAAGAATATTCTATATAAGTATTAATGATAAGCTAAACATATATGGAAATTCCCACCGAAATAATAATTGACAAATTTATTATACAATTTAAAATAAATAAAGATAGTAAAGTTGTTTAGCCAATAAATATAGTTATAATTGTTGATAATTAGAAATAATGTGTTAAAATAATGTTAAATTGTTTGCATAGTATATAGTTATACATACAGTAAATGATGATAATTGAATGTGAGTCTACTGTAATCTTCATATATAATCTAATCGTTAATTACACTATAAATTCATATTTCATATTAAAAAGTGGACAGACGTTGAATTTTTTGCATAATACCGATCCATTCATTTAATTACATCAAATAAGTTATATTATTATCATTTATATATTTATAAATTTTTAATTATTTTGTCTTATGTTTTGCAAATCTGTTTATTTGCAAACTATGTTTTTGTTTCAAAAGATTTTAAATTTTATTATTACAATTATATATATAAATGTTTTTATTATTTGATATTATTAATGAATTATAAATATTATAAATAATAATATTCTCAGTAAAGAAATTTTCTTTATTTAAGATTAGAGTTAATGGCTTTCTTTTTTTTTGAATATACTGTATATTATAAAAATTTTAATACAAATTATATAATGTCTTCAATTAATTTTAGTTATTTAATGACACAAATGACCCGAAAGTGTTCAATGTTTTATTTATTTTGAAAGTATTTATTATATAAACTCACATTTTCCTATTAAATGCCACAAAATCTCATTTGTACTCAAATACACATTTATTTATTTAATTTATTAGTTTTTTATAATATTTATTACTATAACTTAAGCACTATTTATGGTGATTGTGTGTTAAATTTACTTAAAGTTTTTCTAATAAATGTAAAACTGTGGTCCTATACATGTATTTGTATTATTTATATTGATTTAAAATTAAATTTATCTACAGATAAAATATTAATTTATAAGTTATATTTGGTAAATTTGATTGTTATTTATTATTATTAAATTACTACTAATACTATAAAATTTGTTTATAAATATTATATTATTTTTAATTACACAATAATTTGTTTAAATAATATTTGTATATCTTTTAGAGACAAAAAACAAATAATAAAAATTTGGTTTTTAAAAATATCATTTGTCTAATTTTATTTATTTTGATTTTAAAGTTATTGCAATTAGAGATATAAACCATTTACAGAATTACATTATTAAAAGATATTTTAAAAAATTATAAATATTTATAATAAATAGTAAAAAAAAGGTGAAACAATGAGTCGCGCGTTATATTATAATAATATAAACTAACACGTGATGTATAATTAATAATTATATAATTGTAATTAACATGTTTTACTTTTTTGATTAATTGATTGAATAGTTTTAAATTTTAATAAATTTAGTAAATAATACTAAACAAAATGTAAAACTGATAAATTATCGATTAGATTAAAACATTATATTTAGTTTACTGTAACTATTGATTCAACAAAATATCTAATTATTTTTTGTAATTTGTGTAAAAAACTATATCTACTAGAGAGTGAAAAGTTTCGGACCCGTACCTGATCTCATACCTAAAATCTCGGACTCGGACCTGACCTAACATAGGGTACAAATATACCTGACCTGACCTGACCTCACTTTGTAGGTCCGAAATTATTTTATCAAAAAAAAATTATTAACAAAAAAAAATTCTATGAACTGTATGCTGTATTTCAAATATTTAAACTTTTTCTATTTTTATTTCAAATTTTAAAATACTGTAATAAAAACAAAAATACAAAATTTTTTGTACAAATACTACAAAACATGCAGTAGTTTTAGATTAAATGTGAAAAAAGTAAAAATAATTAATAAAATCGTAATTTTAAATTAATTAAATTAAAATGAATATTAATAGTATTACAAAATTAGTTAATGATAAAAGTGATCGACTTAGTTATTCAATAGGAAAGGGGAAAAGTAATGTCTGGACATTATTTGAAAAAGTATTATGTGATGGTAACGACACGTGTTTTGTAAAATGTATAAAATGTGATAAACTATTAAACTATAATTCAAATACAGGTAATGCACACCTGAAAAGACATATTGATAAATGTAAAATCTCTGTCAAGTCTCGCAATATTAAGGATATGTATAAAGATTATACTTCTGTTAAAAAAATATTGTCAGAAAAAGCTGCAATTTGTTGTGCTGTTGATCTCCTGCCGTTCAGTTTTATAGATGGAAATGGATTTAAATTACTTGCAAATGAATTAATTAAAGTTAATAAGCAAAACAACCAATTTATTGACATTAATAAACTATTGCCATCATCTAAAACTGTATCTAATTATGTTAATAATATATACGACAATTTAAAATCTAAACTTATAACAAGTATTGAAAATGTTGAATATTTTGGTTTAACATGTGATCATTGGGTTAATGATAATACTAAAGACAGTTATATTACAATAACAATTCAATATATTACTAATAATTCATTAAAATCAAGAGTTTTGTGCACCAAAGAAGTCGATAATAAAACAGCATTATTGACAAAATATAAAGTTAACGAAATATTGAATGAATTTGGTTTAAATAATAAAACTTTTATTATGGTTACAGATAATGCAAGATCAATGAAAACTGCATTCAAAGATATACTATGGATAGGGTGTTCATCTCATAACATGAATCTTTTGCAAAAACATGCATTTATAGAATGCAATGATATTAAAATTATTGATAATTTAATTGAAAACTCTAAACAATTGGTACGATATGTTAAGCAATCAGGAATTCAACAAAAACTTAACATAACATTAAAACAATTTATTGAAGTGCGTTGGGATTCAAAATATGATATGTTATATTCAATTAAATGTAGTTTTAATGATTTACAAAAACTCAGTGAAGAAAATGAAAAAATATATCATTTTATTCAAAATATTGATGAAAAACTTTTAAATGAATTGATTAATTTTTTGTTACCATTAAAGACACTAAGAAAAAAATTATGTAGTGAGTCAACTGCATCGCTATTTCACGTATTACCAGAAAAAGAAAATTTAAAACTTAATATAATGACATTTTTATCAGAATATTCTGAGATTAATTTACTTAAAACTAAATTAATTGAATGTATTGACAAATATTTAATCGTTACTAATTTTCATATCTGCGCTACTGTATTGACTCCAATTTACAGAAAATTGAAAATGTTTTCAAATGTTTGCGAAATAAATGAAAAATACGATACAATAATTTCAATGATTGAAAATTATACAAAAACTTCAACAATAATGGCCACTCAAGTTGATAATACAGTTAAAAAGCTTATATATATCACATTTTGTTTCATTATTTGCCGAAAATCCGATTCATATACTGAAGAATCAATTAGAGATGAGTTTTTGCGTTACATTTCATGTAAAATGTCTGAAGAAGATCATCAAATGGATGTCATAAAGTTTTGGGACAAATATTCAACTGTTTATCCAAGACTATCATATTTAGCTAATTTTATTCATACTATACCCGCAACAAATTTGTCCAGTGAGCGTAATTTTAATTACGCGGGATTAACGATAACTGATCGTAGATCTAATTTAGATACTAATAAAGTAAATATGCTATTATTTATTAGATCAAACTATGATCTTTTGTAATATTTTGTTTAATTTATACAAACCTTTCATAAATAAAAATTTAATAAATTTTGTGTTTGATTGTGACATTTTTCTAATAATTGTCGCTTAAATAGTTAATAAAAAATTTTCGGACCTGACCTGACCTGACTCAAAAATTTAGGTGTTCGGACCCGTACCTGACCTGATCTGAGACCTAACTTTTACCTGACCTTACCTGACCTGAAAAATCAGGTCAGTTTTCAGTCTCTAATTACAATAAAGTCAAAGTAATAGTAATAATTAAGTATTAAATTATATGCATGTGCTGTAAACACATGTCATTGTAATGATTCAATAATTGAATTACAAGTCCAATGATTGTGATCTAAAAGTTAGTCAATAATCTAAACAATTAATAAAATAAAGGATTTACTATGAAATAGAATGAATAATATTGTGCTAGATCATTTATATAATGTTTTATCATATTTTATATTTAAAAGCTTGCATTTTTAGCTATAATGGAAATAATTAATTTCGATCAAGGACACATTTTTAATATAAAACAATTAAACATTTTTAAAAAACAATACTAAAAAATATTAACTTTAAAGCATATGGTTTAATAAATTTATAAACGTTAGATTAAATAAAACATAAATTTAATAAAATGAATAATTTAATAAAATTGTTTTTTCTTTTAATAAATTTAATGTAAGCATTTGTTCAACAACTTTACAATAATTTGTTTGATATTATTTAACACACAGTATATGATTAGGTCAAGTGATGCCGGTTTACGTGATAAAGCAAAACACATATACATTGGATCTGCACTCACGACTCGGGGTCTATCAGACACAACATATACTAAACTGGCGACCGAACAGTTCAATTGTGTCACACCTGAGAATGAAATGAAATGGGAATCTATTGAATCACATAAGGATCAGTATACATGGGAACCGGCAGATCTATTGGTCAATTTGACACAACATCATGGCATGAAAGTTCGTGGACATACATTGTTATGGCACCGGGCGTTACCTAATTATGTCAATCAATTAAAGGGCAAYAAAAAACAACTTAAGAAAGTTGTCGACAATCACATAACTACAGAAGTAACACATTTTAAAGGAAAAATATATGCGTGGGATGTGGTTAATGAAGTTATCAATGATGACGGATCGGGTGATAAACTAAGAAAATCTATATTTAGGGACACTCTCGGACCAGAATATATAGAGCAGGCCTACCAAACGGCACATAAAGCTGATCCTAACGCTAAGCTCTATATTAATGATTATAGTATTGAAGGAATCAATAAAAAGAGTAMCGCTTTGTATGATTTTGTCAAACAATTAAAAATAAAGGGAATACCAATACATGGCATAGGATTTCAATGTCACATAGCTCTCGGACAGATACCTAAAGATATGAAACAAAATTTGCAACGATTTGTCAATTTAGGACTGGAAGTGGCCATCACTGAACTGGACATACGTATCAAATTACCGACCAGTGCTGCACAAAGGGAACAACAGGCAAAAGATTATGCAAAAGTGGTTAACATATGTGTGTCTGTTAAGGGTTGTGTTGGAGTGACAACCTGGGAGTTCAGCGATAATTACTCGTGGATTCCTAAATCGATTTCAGGATATGGAGATGCATTGCCCTGGGATGACAACTATAATGCTAAACCTGCAGTCAAAGCCATTGAAAATGCCTTAAAATAAATCTAAAGTTTTACTTATAAATTTCCAAATTATAATTATTAATAACTAACTATCTAACGCTTTGTTAACGTATAATTATTTATAAAATGTTATCCAATTAAATCAAAACTTATAAAACATTTTAGACTTAAATATTTAATTAAGAATTGTAACGGATAGTTAGGAATATAAATTTATACAAATATTTATTAAAAATATAAAAATTGATCAATTTGTATATATCTAAAAATCAATTTGAAAATATAGTTTAGTCTATGAAAACTATGACTAATATTTATTTATTTATTTGATTTTTTATTATTATAAGTTTATGATAAAAATACAATTTACTTTCAATTTAAAGTCTCGTTATAATAACAACTAATACTGTATAATGTATTACATAGATATGAAACTCAAGTCTCATTGGTTACTAAATTTAGTCAAATACAGTATCATTTTTAGTCTATAAAAATATATTTATTTAACTATTTAATAAAAATTGTTTCAGTCTATGTTTTATTTTAATTCGTAATCACATTGAATGAGAAAGTTACACAACTTATAACAATGTATCACTTTTATATTGATAATCAAAATACTTTTATATTTTAATTGCACTAAATATATTATAAACAATTTTCAGATAATAAATTTTATTATACGATACAAATTAATACCATATTTGTATCATATATTATTAGCCAAGGTCATATAAATAGCAGGTGAAAGTGATTTTAAGTGTTTATTATATTATACTAAATGTAATACAGTATTATAAATATATAATAAAATATCAATCATAGATATGGCTATGATAATAAAATTACTGTGTAAGTACTGTATGCTATTACAAATAAAAATTTAATTTAAAAAAATAAGTTTAAATTATTTATTTTATTAATTTTTAATCAAAAATAATTACAAATATTAGAAAAATCGTTGAGAAAAATATCACAATTTATCAATATATTTGTAAATTTTACAAAATCACATTCATTTACAAATTTACTTTTAACATTATATTCCTTTAATTTTAATTCAATGGAGACTTTTTCAAACCATTAAATTAATTCAAAAACATTATAAATTTTAGAATAATTTTTAATAAGTTAATAAATTAGAAATTTATATAATATAAAAATCAAATAAAATTTATTGGACGGACAAACATATGTTGTATTGTTGGTCGAAATGAAGATAACAATCGCTTATTAAATAAAAAGTATAAACAATAGTACCCGCAGTGTCTGGTGTTGTAAAAGTCAGGGTTTGGTGTGTTTTACCGGCAATACTAGAAACACGTCTTAGAGCTAATAAATCTCTTCTATCAATATTACCTAAAATCAAAAACCAGTTTTCATCCTTAGGTTTCGGGAATTTTGGTGCAAAAGCTCTAGCGTTGGAACCGCTAGTATTGTCTCTATTACGGGAACCTCCCTTAGGTCGACGTTTCTTTAATTCACAAATAAGTGTATATTCTGTGTTTGTTTGAACAACAATTGGTGTTTCATTTGATGGATTAAAAGTCGCATCAATTCGTATTGAAATGCATTCACTTTTATTTCTATTATCTTTTGATTCATTACTACTTTTAAGTAAACTTAATGAACACTCTATTAATGGAAATTTTATAAGAGTTTCGTAAATATTTTTAATCACAAATTGTTGGYTTATGTATGGGCTAAGTGTTTGATTGAGACCATCAAAACTATCGGTAATAGCTTTCATTACAAGATAAGAAAGCGATGACTCTCTTATAGGAATTCTATATAACATATCTTCATTAACATCGGGAAGTGTTAGCATTGGATTATTGTGATACCAACGACACTGTATTATCATTTGAAGCAAAGTTATAATTTTAAGAACAGTTGGCAAAGAACCAGCCAGTGCTGAGACGTCAATCATCGCTTGAATTATACGAATTGCTTGATCTAAGACTGACTTCAAGTCTGTAAAATAATCGGTATTTGGAAGTTGAAGACGTGATATGTGTGCTTGAAGTAAGAGATTAGCTTTGGTGTGAGGGCTGTCCATAGCATATCTTGTGATATTAATGGGACATATATTAGCCAAATCAGCATTAAGTCCATCTTCATTATGACGAACTGGTAATTCATTATATTCGTAAGCATTTGTAAGTACATCTAAAAGTAAAGCATAATCAACATCAACGTTATGATCACCTAACGCTTTGTGAAAGTTATAAACAGTTGTGTGGTTTATGTAATAAAATGATGCGATTCGACCCAATGGTGTGGACCATAGTGTGCGCTCGTCATCGTCAACAGTAATACACATATTATTAATTAATTCATCTAACGATGAGTCAATCACTTTTGATAAAAACTTATTTATGTCATTGGTTTCAATACTCTCTAATCCATAATAAAATGGATTTTTAATAACGCGACGGAAGAGAAAAGTCCAGTTGAGATATTCTAATGCCTCCTGTTTTGTATGGATTGTGGCGGACACTATCTCGGCGTTTAAATGGTCGGTCAAAACAGATAGTAAACTGGACTCAACGGGAAACGGTTCGTATAAAAACTTTTTATAAAACTCTTTTTTAGTGTCTTGTACTAAGACTATGGCCACACCAGATGTATCAAACTGTGGTCTACCGGCCCGACCCATCATTTGTAAGACATCAGTAATGGGAAAGTCCACATATCTATGCTTTTTACCGTCAAAATATTCGGTGCCTTTAATTATTACCTGTAAAACATGATAAAATTATAATTTMTTAGACAATTCAAAATAAATAATTTTATACCGCATGTGCCGGAAGATTGACACCCCAGGCAAGTGTTGCAGTGGTGACCAAAACCTGTATCTTTTGATTCAAAAATAATTCCTCGACTATACTTCTGTCTCTTTCATGAAGACCTGCGTGATGTAAACCAATGCCAAAGTCGAGAGTATTTTTCAAACTACTGTCCCTAACATTTTGTATAACGGCTGYCAATGATTCTCTATCCACGTGTAAGAACTTGTCGTGAGACCCATCATTGGCCAAAAATGTCATTAAATCATAAGCTGTGAGACGTGTTTGTCGTCGAGAGACACAAATATGAGGACTGGTTTTGTAGGTGAGTGCTGTAATATGGCTCTATAGGTCGGTTTGTTCATTAATGCCATACGAGGACAGTAGTTTTTACCCGGAAAACCATTTACGTGTACTTCAATAGGAACTGGTCTGACAGATGGCTTAAAGTTATACAAACCGACACCTTTGATGTCGAGCCAATTGGCTAAGTCTTGTGCGTTAGAAATGGCTGTCGACAGACCTATGATTCTAATTTTTTGCGATGAATTCTGACGAATAAAATTAGTTCGCGAAACAATCACTTCAAGAACTGGTCCGCGATCTTCACCTAATAAGTGAATCTCATCGATGATAATAAGCGCTACATCTCTAACATATTTTCTCTGTTGCCAACTCCTACTAATTCCATCCCACTTTTCAGGCGTTGTTACAATAATATCGGCAGCCATAATGGCCCGAACATCTGGAGTCATATCTCCGGTCAGTTCCACAACAAGTCGACCCATATTTTGTTCAATTTTTACTTTCCAATCCTCTACTCTTTCTCTTACAAGTGCTTTAAGCGGTGCGATATAAACTATTTTAGCACTTGGATTGGTGTCAAATGTACGCAACATTGCAATCTCAGCGGCTATTGTTTTGCCTGAACCGGTGGGCGCACCCAACAGAACATTTTGATTAGTTTTGTATAAAGTATGAAATATTTGTGTTTGAATTGGATTAAAGTGTGTAAACTTGTAAATCGATTCATATAATTGATTGTTAAGTGCTGTCACTGGTAATGGATCTAAATCCAAGAGTTTAGTGTAAGGAACATACTTTTCAGGTAAGATTAAGTGTCGACAGGGAAGTGATACTTCTTGTTCACTTCCTAACCATCGATCAAATGAACAATATATGATGTATTGAGTGGGAAGAGAATCGGGATCCAGAAGTGGAATATTAAATGTGATTTTTTGCACCTCTTTTTTGATGACTTGTTTTTTAGTGAACTTAAATAACTCGCTGTGATAAATATGATTTGAATCAATATCTGAAAGCCATAACCAAAATGATTCGCATATCTTTCCGTGATATCTGTCATCCCATCGAAACTTAGGCGTTATCTCTATCTGAACCATTAAAACTGTTCTTGTAATTGGTTTAAGAGTGGCCACAATGTCAACGTTTGGCAGAGTATCAGCTAATCGTTTGAGTGTTTCTCCGTATCTCTGAAAACGAACCAATCGGCCCAAGTCGTCGGCATTCATTTCTCTAATCCGATCAATAGTTAGCGACGGTTTAATTTTCTCTAACTTTTCCATTATTTCAAATGAAATTTCATCAAATTGACGCATTGGTGTCTCCCAATCCCACATACGGCGCTCAAACATTTGACTCACTTTAAGCAAATGTTGTGCTAAAATAGCCCAACCCTTCTTCAAAACCCATTCAAACAATCCTCTGCAGATGCGGTTCACATTCTTCAATGTTAATAAATATCATAATGTGTTTAATAAATAAATGTAATTTTTTAAATATATAAATTAATGCTGACCTGCATTACAAACATGGCGTCCGACACCAATGAAAAGCTATCCATTTTAGCGCAACTAAGTTGTGATTGCATCAGAATATTGACTTTTCCGTTCTTATTTTCAACGCCTCCCGGAACACCCAAATGACATTCTTGTCTTAACAATTGTTCCAATTCTTCAAATTCATCTTCGCGTGACTTTTAAAAATTTAAATTAATTTTAAGGAATTTATTGTTAATTTAAGAATAAATTATCAATTTATACCTTTAACTGATCAAACTCTTGTGCGGTCGCAATCATAGCAAAAATATTCCTCTCGTCCATGACTTCGCTTATCATTTCATTAAATTTCATAATTGTGTCATATTTTATATAGTAATGACTTGCAGTACGACCTAAATCTGTGGGATCAAGCGTTCCGGCCTCTGGTGAATACCTAACCATTTTTGCTTTATCCAGATCTTCAGCTGATTCTGTGACAAGTTTACGTCGATATTCATATAACTCAGTGTCGTATTTAATATCTTGAGGTGTTATTCCATAGCACTGCGGATTCTTTCTCATTCTTATGTATAGATATGTGTCTCTAATCCAATCAATCGCTTCATCGATTGTTGAGATAGTTCCAGAAACTATCTCTGCGTTCATATTATCAGTTAAATACTTTTTGAAATTACTTTCAATTGGAAATTGATTTGTCAAAAGTGACAAATAATGTCTAAGTTTATTATGGGCTGTAATGATAGTTCCGTGACCTTCAGTGTCATATTGAGGACGACCGGCGCGTCCAAAGATTTGCATCACATCTAACATACTAATGTCAACAAAGTTTCCATGACTTGAATCATACATTTCCGTGCCTTTAATCACAACCTAAATGCAAATGCAATGAATATCACATTAAATTATGTAATTATAATAAAGTAATATTTATACCGAATGTGCGGGTAAGTTGACACCCCAGGCCAGTGTTGCCGTACAAACCAATACTTTAATAACACCGGCGCGAAACAGTTTCTCTACAACATTCCTATCCTGTCTTAACATTCCCGCGTGATGTATAGCAAATCCTGAGTCAAATAACTCTTGAAGACCTTTATGTCGGGCGCGGCGTAACATTTGCTCTGAGCCGGGAAGTCTAGATGTATCACAAGTAAATACATTCAAATGAGCCAATTTATGCGCCCTGTCTTTCATATTGATGGCTGTCCTATAAGTAGCATTCCTCGCGTGAACAAATATCATCACTTGATGTCCTTTTGCTACCATTTCATGAACTTTCTCATAGCAAACATCGTCCATATCATACATTATTTGCATCGTTTGCGTTGCTTTACATCCAATAAATGTTTGAGTTAACGGCACCGGACGGAAACGATTGTCAAAAACAAACAGTCCGTAACGTGGATTAACGCGCAAAAATTCAGCGACATCTTTATAGTTGGGTAATGTTGCCGATAACCCAATCATACGAATCATTGTTTGTGAAGACTCAATGTAGCGCTTAGTTCGGGCCACCAAAGCTTCGACTACTGGTCCTCTATCGCTCTGCAACAGGTGAACCTCATCAATGATAAGAAGTCTAACCAATTGTAGTAACTGGACGTCTCCTTTTGCTTTTCTAGTAACGACATCCCATTTTTCAGGTGTGGTCACTAACATCTGAGTACTCATTATCTCACTTTTCGATAACTGCATATCACCGGTCAGTTCGCGAACACGAATACCGAAAGGTTGTAATCGTTTAGAAAAATTATCAGTCATTTCAGAGGCCAGTGCTTTCATTGGTGCGATGTATACGATCTTAAACTTATCCAAATCAATGTCGTGAACACTTCCGGTACGAGAGTTGTTTCTAATCTGTGCAATTATTGCTAGCATTGCAACATTGGTCTTACCGGCACCGGTAGGCGCACAAATCAACATGTTTTCATTGGTGGTGTCAGCAGTTTTAAAGACAATTGACTGAATTCTATTCAATTGTTTAATTCCGTTAAAACCAATTTTCGCAAATTCATCCAAACTTTCAATATCTATGAGTTTAAAATCATTGATAACACCTTCGGGTGGAGGCGGGGGTACGGGAATTGTAATCTCTTCCCAACGGCGTTGATCTTTACGTACAAAACCCAATGGAAGTGTCATTTTGGCTCCAGATATAAAAGCAGCTGAAGATTTCGTCTCTACCATCGAATCAAACACAAACGGATACTCAGATCGATCTAAATATTCGACATTTGATTCGTCTCTGAAAAGTGGTGCCATCATTGCACTATACAGTTGTGCTTCTCGTTGTTGTTTCATTCGCTCGATGTCTTCATAAGTTAAATTAGTTGTTGTCGAACAATCATAATCTTTACTCAACTCCTTATTGAATTTCTTTTCCATTTTTCTTAATTGTTTCTTTAAATTTTTCTCTTCAGCTGTCTGTACCACAACTGCCGGTGCGATTGCTGGTCCCCTTTCGTTACGGAAAGTACTGGCAATTTGTTTTTTCTTATTCAAAAAATCGTCGTTCACTTCTATGTTATCAACTTTTGGTTCGCAATACATTTGTTTGTATGAAATCTTAATTAGTTTTCTGTATTTAACTATTTTTTCAATTAGTGGTAAACAGTCATCACCTAAAAGACTGTGCATATCAGCGCCCAGTTCTTCGTCGCTCTTATTCTTTGCTTTGATCCATTCAATCACTGTATCGACTAAAGTCTCAATATTCATATAAAATGGATCGTTATGTTTTGCACTGTAGTCTTCAATGTATTTATTTAGTTCAATATTAAGCCATTCAATGCCGAAATCATTTTCTACAGTATTATTAGTTGTGTCATATTTTATGATCTCTGTTGTGATCTTATGACTAGAGTTTTGTGACTTTAAATTATTACTGTCTTTGTATTCAAAAGACAACTCATATTTCTTTGTTTTATTTGTTGATTGACTGCTATTATCATCATTTAAATCCAGAACTGAATCCCACGTTACTATTATATCGACGTTATCAACAAACGGATCAAAATCTGTTCCCAAGTCTTTCAAACCATTGTTACACCATTCGTCTTCATCTTTAAACATATCCATTGAATCCAAGTTCTTATTCTTCACTTGACGATCACATGATTGGTACTCTTGTCGTCTATTATAAGGCATAAAAAGTCTTTCCCTGTCTTCCAAATCCAACAAATCCAATATAGATTTGGCCAATTCGTAAGCATTATTAATTAATTTAGCCGACAATTGGCCGAACACTTCCTCCAATTCATGAATCTGTTGTGAAGTGACGCCCAATATTTGCTGTAAATATTTCGCGTCGTGAAAAACCTGTAGGATATAGACGGCCGAAGACTCGACCAAATCCATTGAAGATCCGATGCCAACACATTCGCGACTGATGTCCAGTATTTGTCGGACCAAAACATTGAATTCTTTGTGGTTTATATTATCTGAGTGTCTTTTAAAGGCATCTTTTAGACAATCTTTGACATCTGTCCAAAGCGGAAGAATGTTTCGTTGTTTTTGTTGTAAAACCCGTTGTCTTTGCAACCGATAAAATGAGTGGTCATCCGGACACTCGTCAAACTCATTTGGCGGTCGACTAACCGAACTATATGTCCGCAAATAGCCAGACAACGAAAAAGGTTGGCCGTCGGATGCGATCAATTGAGACCACATGTGAGCGACAATTGTCTTCAAAACTAATAAACAAAATATTTAGACATTTATTAAACCAAACAAACGATACAAACCTTTTGAATGCAATCAATGAAATGATATTCAATTGTAAATAACATGCAATTTATAAATCATATGTTAATGTGTTAAACGTTTTGGTTATGAAATATGATTACATTTATTGTGTCAATCAATGTGTGTGTTATGTAATAATCATTACTTGTTTTGTTATTTTCATATAAGTTGTAAACTACTATACAGTCTATTAGTGAAGTTAACACATAAATGCTGTAAATTTAATGCTATAAAATACAGTACAGTACTACTCAGTTGTCAGTACAGCTTAATGTACAGTATATACTGTTTAACAATAATTGAATTAAACAGAAAAATATAAATACAAAGTTAGAAATAGTAATTATTTTTTTAACATTCATTTATATGTATTTTATTATTAATTATTACTAATTACTAATACAGTATTGTTATTATATTATTGTATTAATATATGATTTATATAAATGTTTTCAATAAATGTTTAAATGACTCTATTTTTTATATAAGGTTTGACTCTATTCTGTAATGACATCACCTGTCGATTCAATTCATTGTTTTCAACTAACATTTCTTTCAACTTTTGTTCCGTCTCTAAGAACCTATTCCTCCAGTTATTCATTTCATTCTTCAATTGGTCGATACAGTTGTGTTGTTCACGACTCGGGCCAACATTGAGACAACACGTGGGACACAATCTATGCGGACATTCCTTTAGGTGAGCGGACAGTGACTCCAATGCCATCACAAGAGAGCATCCGTTCCACTCATAGTCACATCTGATCTTCAATTTACCGATAATTGCATTCAATTTACTGTTTTTATCGACCACAACATCGCTGGATATAATAATGGTATTGTTATTATCACTGTTAGACCTCTTTCTTGAAGACAACAGTTGTCGACATTCGGGACATTCTTTACGATCGCCATTGCTTTGGATCCACTGCTTAAGACATCCGTAGCAGAAATTATGGCCACAACAGGTCTGGACAGCTGTCTCGTAGATATTCATACAAATACTACATCTGAGTTCATCAATGAGGCCATCGATGACCTCTAAGTTCACGAAACGATTGGTCTCAAAGCCAGGCATTTGTTGACCTCAAGAGTGCATTCAATGGTCAGTCAAATGACAATCAAATAATACAAACAATAAATGTGTCGTCAATTGACTTACAATTACATCACTCAATAACGTCGTGTAAACAATGATTTCAACTATTGTTCAATAATTGACGTAATTTATGATTTGTATGAAACAGTTTTGAAAAATTGATTATTTTATTGAAATTAATTGAATTTACGGATCAATTAAAATAACAAAAGTATGGATCAGTTGGTGAACAATATATTATCACAGTCTCGACGGATCAAACAACTGGTCGACCAAATGTTGCGGTAATTCAATGAATCTGAAAGGACGTCCACATAATATTAACCATTGATTGATTTGATTGATGAATTGGACATCAATTTGTTGACTCAAATAGATCCGAAAATATCGGTGAACGACATCTGCAGAAAAACAAATGTTAGACAAACATGTCTTTTATAAATAATTGCATCAAAACCTTCCGCATCGAAATTTTCTTGAGGAATGTCCAGTATATTGTAAAGACGTTTATAGATGTTATCATCGGTTAAATGAATTAGTATGACATCATATGTCTGACCACTACTTCTGGTCACTCGATAATAATATAACTCACGAATGGCATCGAAATACAAGACAATACTTGCAAACACTCGTGAGGGTCTCAATCGTGTCAATTGAATACCAATGTCAGTGATGCCAAACCCAATGTCAAAATATCTTTCACAACTCAATGATATATGAGATATCTCTCTTCCGCCAAAAATCTGGTCACTCATTGTTGTCGTTAATCACAACAATAATCGTTGTTTTAGTTATTACTTTGAAATATTGACAAATAAAGTGTTGACTAAATTCACTAATTATAGCACCTATTGATGTATAATATCAGTTGTTATGACACATCAAACTTATCGTAATATATTTTATCGCATTATTTTCAATAAAATATAATTAAATCATACAATAATACATGTATTATATAATATATGATATTATATTACTTAAATAAAATAAATACTATTAATATCTAATGATGTAATTAAATGTATTAATGTATAATATATAATATATATTACTATAGATGTCACTCAACTTATAATAAATGATGAATTATTTTGTACAACAAATAAATAAAATTATATTTTAAGTTAATTATTTTTAAATTTTCTTATACATTATACAAATTGAGTTTTAATTAAAAAAATATCTGAAAAAAATTTATGAATCTAAAACTTAAATTATATTTTTATATTGAATAATAAATTTTAATCAAACAATAATAACTAGAACTTAGCCCATAATTGCTTAAATGATTTTAGCAAATACTGTAAAATATATGGTCATAATTATAGTTTATTTTTAAAAAAATAAATAATCAATAAATAAGTTTAATTGTATAAAATATATATTTTTTAAATAGAATATTCATATTTATTCTTTCAAAACTGTAAAATATATGCATTCAATATTAACTACATATAAATTGAGTGTAATTTTGACAATTTTAATTACATGATATTRCATTTATTAATTGTCAATTATTTATTTAATATTGCAAAAATTAATTTATTAATTAAAATTATTTACCTGTATTAACTTATCTATTTGAATTATGATAGAATAATATATTATAATATAAATTATCACAAAATTGATTATTACAAAAAAGGGAATTTTTATTTACTTTATTTTTTGATATTACAATAAATGACAATTACAGTGAAATTATGTGTAAAATTTTGAATTTGAATTCAAAATTACTTTAATAAATGCTTGTTATACAATATCCAATTTTATTTAATATTTCAATAATAATAATTATTATTATTACTAAAAACCATATAATAAATGTAATTATTTAATAATATATAYCATTTCTTTATATTTAAAATTTATTCTTTATATTATAATTGAATTTCTAAACATTTTTAGTATTTATATAAAACCAAATCAAATTATAGATTGAAAACAATTGATAATTTTTTATATTTTAAAAACAATATTCTTAACTGAAAATTTTTAATATAATAAAAATAAAATTATAAATGATACTATACTCCGATAAATATGTTAATTAAAAAATCTCCAAATATTTTTTAGGTGTAATACAAGACTAGGCAATGCTTGCCTCCTGTGCCAGCTCTGGGATGTTATGATATCAAAAATGGTTCACTCATACAGTACTCTCCTTTAAAACATTTAATGTATTACTACCGGAATTATTGGTTAACTATAAGTTGGACTAAAACTACTAATTGATATAATTCTTGTATTGTGTTTTGTAATATTCACCCAAATGTGTTACAATAAATTTCACCAAATAATATAATTTTTACTGTATATAAATAATATATATATATATATTAATATAGTACAGTGTATTCATTTATAGGTACATTAAAAACACTTAAATGTAATTTTAAATTGCTTTTAAAGTACACAATATATTTTAGTTTTTCAAGTTTAGAAAGTAATAGTAATAAAAATAAAAATAATAGTTTAAAATAAAACATTTATAAAAATATTAGATATTATAAAATGAAATATAATAATAAAAATAGTTTTATACTATATACTTAAACAATACATTTTTATCAAGTTTACTATAATTTATTTTAAAGCAATCAATCTTATATGCATTTCTATACTTAACATTATTATTTATATTGGAAGCATTTATATTAATTTTTTAAAAATTATTTGTTATGTAACTATAATATTTATATTAGGAGTCATGCTTAAAGTACGTTCAAACATATAAATGATAACAATGTTGTTTACTAATAGAATAAAATAATATTTATAAAAGTAATAACGTTCTTTAAGTATGATCCCTCATTCAGTTTAGTTTTAATTTACATTGATTTTGTAATTTGATAGAATACGCAATAATTATTTGATTAATAATATAGTTACTCACATTGTTTGTAAAATATAAATTATAGTAAAAATTGAAAAATATTGTTTGTGACATACAGTATTAATTAAAATGAATTATATTTAGTAATAAAATTAGACAATAAATTAGATACAAATAATGTACCGGTATTTTGCGATTTCAACATAACTGTAATAATTATGGGGATAACCAAAAAAAAATACAATAAACTATATATTTTTATGTAATAACTAAAATACAAAAAAATATATAAATGTTACACTAGTCTCGAAGCTACCTTGGCTATTGCCATATATATATAATATATATATTATATTTTTATACTGTATATGGCAATAGTAGCATATAATGAAATACGAGTGTTTAATAGTTGATGTGATAAGCGAGGAAATTGGAAATAAAAATAAATGACAACAATTATCATCATTTAAAACAAAAGCCCATTAAAACTGAAGCTATAATTGTAAGTCAAGTATCTCTTTCTTATAGATTCAATCTGTTGTTATTCGTGTTACAGAAAACAATGTTTGTTTGATATATACGTGTATGTGATTTGTTATTGAATTTTATTAATCAAAACATTACACAAAATTTTTTGATGCTATTTGTTGAGGACTTAATGTAATTATTTTTTCCTTATATATATATATACCGTATATACTTCTATATCATTGTAGTATACGTGTTGTTATTGTTCTCATCAATTGCTTATATTATTTGAGATATATTTATTTTTTTGTAACAAATCAATTTAATAAAAAAAATCTTACAACTTATACATTAAATGAACAATGATTATTATAATCAACTAAATTGACCATAATAAATCATACAATAAGTAACTATAGTTAAAATTAAGCAAAACTATACTTTAGTTGACGAGTCGACTAAAATTTCCAGAAAATTGTTGTCTAATTTAGTATTTAGTAAAAAAAATCAATAAAGTTTTTGTCGATTCATTCGTTATAATTAGTTTGCAATTATTTTTTGAGCATTTAGTTTGATTTGAATTTTTTTTAACCACTCCTTTAATGATGTACTCTAATTAGTTATGTTATAATATATTTTTTTTATTTTATATCAATTAGAAATTGTTACAATTATAGATTGGAATTATTATATATAAATTATAGTTATTAATTTATCAACTATTTTATAGTAACTTTATTTTCAAACTTATTTATATATATATATATTTTTACATTTCCAAATGTAGTTACTTTTCAAATAAAAAAACAAATAACTAAAATATTAATAAATTTAATATGAAAGTTAACGATAGTTGAATTTTTAAAATTATAATAATTTTTTAAAATAAGTTATCGATTGATAATTGAGGTAGATTATCTTAAATCTCTCTCCCATTTAAATTAAAATAAAGTAATTGAGAATTATTAACTATTTTATGGTTAAAAATATATAAAAATTTGTACAATTCATAGTAACATTATCATTTTAAACTGTATTATAATTATGAAATATTGTCAATGATTTAAAATGATGTATAATTAAAAATGCTATTCTTTTTTATAATATTGTAATCCTATTTTTAAAACTGTTTTGAAAGAAAACTTTTCTCTAGAGTTTTCTCTAAATAAATCAATAAATATAGGAACTAATTAATTAATAAGTATACCATAAAATAAATTTTATTAATGCTTATCAATTAATAAAATCTACCCAAAATATATCAATAGTATTATCATAAAAAAGTTTTATTGTTATTTCACTAAAACAATCAGTCCTTAACCATAGTGAGGGGTGGCTTATGATTCAAATTAATAATAGTCCGATAGGTTTTTTAGATAATTAAAATTATAGGAACATTGTATTTAATATTATGTATACATTAATGGCTAGAATATGTAATTTACTATTTTATAGTTCAATAACTGTCATATTATAATGGTTTTAATATTTATTGAACATTTTCTGCTGTCGGCTTTTTTGAATGATTTTAATGCTTTTTATAAATAATTTCATTATACAACTTATATAAATAACATATAATATCTAAAAGCTTATGTACTTTTATATTTGGTGTTTAATTTAATATACCATTTTTTATATTATCTACTTTATATGCTATTATGTTTTTATTTGTWATTAAAAAAATTAATTAATTTTATGTTATATTTGGTCTAAATATTTAATTCTATCATATAATGTGTTGGATCACATGTTAATGAATTTTTATTTATCATTATTACTCATACTTTATATTTTTAATCAATCAATTATCATTAAATTTACTATAATTATTATGTAATGTCAGTGTAATTAAGTTTTGTAGTCATTTTAATATCTTTTCAACAAAGTTTATAAAGTAATTAGACGTTCAATGAAAGGGAAATTTAATTTTTAAAATGAGAGAGAGATTCAAGGGTTTTATGTATTGAATTAATTTCAATACTTAACGGCTAAAAACCCAAAATAAAAACAACATTATTATATAAACACTTGTATATCGTTTTCAAGACATTTAATGATAAAATCAATGCAAACATTATTTGTTTTTAGCATAGTGTAAATAACTAATATTAATTATAATGATATTTGTGTTAGTTTATTTATTTTATTTTATTATATGTTTCTAACATATATTTTTTGCCACAATTGATGGGAAGGAACTTTAATAACCGATGCTCTTTTAATATATACACAAAAAACATTACAATTGAGGTATTTTTGTCATTAGTGTACATTATATTTTGTATTTTTGGCTCTATTATTGTTCATTTAATATCATATCATTCAAATGAAAAATAACTTATATATATAAAAAAAAAGATAATATCAAAAAAAGTATACCATTGTTTGTAATACAACTTTGTATACTCGGATAGTGTCTCCCTTTCCACTCATTAGTAAAAACCTAAACATTTGCTTAAAATGCTGTTTTTAATAAATAATTCAATTAATTCACTAAACTATAATAAAGTAAATCAATTAAATTCATTTTTAGTAACTTATTGATGTAACCGATATTAATCTGTTAAATAGACGCCCATATGAGTGACTATTTTGGTGGTATTCATTGAAAAAATAATTATTATTATTGTTTTATACACAGTAGTATGAAAGTAATAGCTATTATTTTATTAATATATCTCATGTTATTTAATTTATCAGTTGTTATATATATATCTTTAACAAAATTATATCATTTATGCTAATATTAATTAAATGAAAAGATATTTATATTGAACTCACTATCGGTATTTGAGGGAAAGGGAGTGTTATACAGTATAAATAATTCATTAAACTAAAATAAAATAATGAAAAATAAAAAGTATACATATTGTAGTCAAATTAAAATAAATATATTTTATAGTTTAATAATATGATCTATACTTTAAATTAATTTTTTTAACAATCGTAAACAGATAGAATATTCTACAGTATAAATAAGTTTATCAAAAAACTTATAATATAGGCATACATTTATTATAACCAATTGATGTCAAATAAAATTATAAAATATTAATATATGATCATATCATAATACACACTGTGATTAAATCATTTACATATCACCTAAAAATAGAGGAACTGTATATGAATTTTATATATCAACTATTAATGAATAACTTAATGTCTACTGGCATTTGATTGAATGAATGAATGAATGAATAAATGAATAGATAAAATAGTAATGGGAGTAATGGTAATGTAATATATTGAAAGTTGTTATGTGTATACACTGTATATTATACAGTATTGAGATCATCAATGAAGTATTGATTTTGATTTAAGTACTCATTTCCAACAGGTTTCTCAATCACACATTTTTAGGAGTGGTTTTCATTACTATTATACGTAATTGGCATTGAAAGTGATATACAATTGAGGAAAACAACTTAAGTTAAGTTAAATATATATAAACTTTTATATACAGAAATTTTTTGTTTTTTTTTTGATTGCGCTCAGGGCTTTAAAGCATCACTATATGGATATAGTGTATAAAATTTTATAATTATACAAATTATCCAATAAGTGAATGCCTTGTATACAGTATATACTGTATGTGTTATTATATGTTTGTTTCATTTGATGAATTGTTTGTGTTGTTATCTATGTTTGTATTAAATAATCTATAATTTTTAAAACAATTATTGTAATATTTTTTTGTATAAATGTACAATTTATATATATATAGATATTTATGTTATAAATGGTTGTTATATGTATTTTGATTAAAATCAAGTAATAAATGTCTAAACATCGCGGCCTCGACTGCCATCCGAAACGGGAGACTCAGACTTAGTATCATCAGTGGTGGGAGTCTTTCCTGAGCTTCGGGTGCCGATACCGCTATCAGACAGATGTTTCTCTGAACTCGACGACGCCGTCTCCGCCGCATTCAGTATACTTTCCTCCTCTGAGTGCTCACCGCTGGTCTGACCATTGCTTTGCTTACCATTAGTACTGTTGCCACTACTGGCACTACTAGACTTGCCGTTAGTTTTCTTTATCAGTCGCTTTTCCTCGAGTTTAGGACAGTCAGCAATTAGGTGTTCCGAATCTTTACAGTGATGACATCGCTTGGGTTGTGGACCCATATTGCACTTGGATGCGATATGGTTGGCAAACTCACCACAATTGTAACACCTGTACCAATTTATATCACACAACTTATTATTTATTCATTATATATATATATATATATATAAGTATCGATTTAAATAATTATTATGTTTATAAAGATTATTCTTTTAGTTTTTTTGATGTCAATTTCAAAATACCATTAAAACACTATTGTAAATATAGTCTCGTGTATTACCGATAATAAAAATTTTTAAAAACTTTTGACATATATAGTAATTTATTGTACATATTATTTATATTTACCATTAAGCAAACTAACCAAATACAAATCGATAATATTGTTGATTATGGGACCCACACCTCATGAATGTCTGACATATGTCTATACTGTTTGTCTAAATGTCTATAATGTCTATACCATTATTGACACCTCCCATGTTTTTCAGCTGTGTTTTTCAATCATGATTATTGAATTTACATGTACTGTACTCTAAAATACAAGTTATTGTATAATCATTTATCATCTGATATTAAAATTTATTTGACTAAATACATTTCAATATACAATATGTAATGCTAAATACCTTTATTATCATATATAAAAAACTATTTTATATACAATATGCTATATATTGATATATTAGTTCTTTTCATATAAAATGTTTATATCATTTATGTTTGATTTAAATTAAATCAATTATAATATTTTTTCTATAATAAAATTGTATCACATTAATTAGTAAAATATTCATATATATATATATATATATATAAAAAGCATTAACTTTTGGTACTAATGAATTAGGAGTCATAAAAAATATCAAATTTCTAAAATAGTCTTTATTGTTATTTTTGTATATTGTTATATACTATAGTATAATATAATATGCCTTTTATACAAATCAATTAACTGCATAAATAAATTATAAACTAAACCAATCTTTAAAAATTAATAGAAATCTATTTTATATAAAAACATAACCACTGATGCAATACATGTATAGTTAATGATAATTTTAATGATCTTTATGTTTTCATATACTTATAATACAAAAAAACATGAAAACAATTAAATAAAAAGCTTAATATTTTTCTAATAAAATATCTAATAATTGGAAAATAATTGCAAATTAGAAATATTAAATTATTTGATTATAAATAAGATTAAACTAAAAACTGATAAACAATGTCGTATATCTTATTTTGAAAATATTTTATATTACTGTATAAAAATAGAAAACTTATGGCTTATAATTAATTTTTCTTTCGACTCGTATATAAAATTTTAATGCTATTTATATTGTGTCTGAAAAATGAGATTTCATAACAATATATAAAAAAGTATATTTAAGTCTAAAGTAGTTTATATAGCAATACATTTTTTAGCAACAGTGCAGCTGTTGGTCAGTTTCCATAGCACTCAATTGATGACCGGGTGTACCCTTCAAACAATGCAAATACACAATAGAGAGCTGAGGGAGACTAAAGTAATGGCGACTTCACTCTTATTTATGCCAAAGACAGACTCACTTTAATAATTTGAATCCCTGTAACACACAATAGTTGTGTGTATGTATAAGTGTGTGTGTGTGCCGGGAATTATTGGAAAACTAATTCAAAAATATATCGATTTTTAAGCTAACTGTGCGGGGGAGGACTATATATAAATTTTATTGTTCAGTCCCTACAATGCTTTGCTAACATAACGGTGCGCTCAATGGCTGAGAAGTTCAAAATGCAAACTAATGGGAAGCGGGAGAGTGAATGTGTTATCGATTTTACAGAGAAACTAGACTTTCAAATATTTGTCGTTTTGCTGTCATATTTAAGTCAACTATAAATATAAATTATAGTGGCTTTCAGTTTGCATTTTATGTGAATTTGTTTTTATTAAAAGTATTTTTGACATTTCGCTAAAATATATTATTTTTGCAATATATGTACATATAATAGATTGAAATTGCAACTTAACTTTTATACATAAATAATAAATTGATATTAAACTCTATTATACAAACTAACAATAACAACAACAAAATTAATTAACGATACCTTATTTTTTTGAACTTCTTCTTAGACATGGGTCGCCTATTAGATCCCTTACATTCTGATCCTTCGACTCCCGAAACCATTGTTGCCTCCAATCCTTTGTCAGACACTTTGCATTCAAACTCCACTTCCTCTTCATCGCCCAGACTTCGAAATCCAGCCATTTGTATGACAGACTATAATTATAAAAATAATAATTATTATTTTAATTTATTATTATTATCTATTATTACTTTATGACATTTATTGCAAATAGTTTAAACTTATTTTACTATAATGAGCCTCTCAATGAGTGCGGCTTATTTTATTTTTATTAATATATTTTGAAATTTGTTTAAAAAGCACTCTTAGGAGGCGGGATATGATGTTGTGTGGGGTACGGAATCGTGTTTCTTAAATAGTCATAAATAACATATTTCACGATTACTTTCACACAACTATACAAGTAATGATACCAACAATTATTAGATAAGAGAAAGTCAGGGAGAGTAAGTGTATGTGCTGTCTTGTGTATGTATGTATGTGTGTGTGTGTGTGTGTGTGTGTGAGAGAGAGAGAGAGAGAGAGAGAGAGATCCCTATGTGTATGGAGTATATGGAGGAAGTGTTGGTTCCTTTTCATGAGAATCTCCCCTCACTTAAGAATTACCGGAAGACTTGAATGCATTTTTGTGGACACGTGTCACACACGAGACCGACCTCTCTTATGGTGTCTGAAACCACAATAAGGCACTCATAGATGAACTGAGAATATAATTATTACATATATATAAAGCATATATTCTTAAACAACATATAAATGTGTGGAAAACTATTTCCGGAAAGAATTGTTGTATTGAAATCAAATGGGAAATACAGATATGTATTATATGACCAAATCATACAAATCTTAACTATTTTTATCTGTGAATTGCTGTCAGTCTTATAACTAAATTTTCTGTAACATCTTTCTTGTGCAACAAAATAAAAATATACTGTTTTTGAAAATATCGCCGCATTTGTCTCTACATTCAATCTTTTCTTTAGAAACCATAAGTTGTATATAAATCTCTTTCATTCTCTCCTCTCTCTCTCTCTCTCTCTCTCTCTCTCTCTCTCTCTCTCTCTCTCTCTCTCTCACTCACTCACTCATTCACTCTCTTTGTCAATGTATCAGTTCGTCAGTAACTTTCATCATGTGTTTGATCTTAAAATTATTGCCAAAACGTGAGTTGAATTGTTTTTGCAATTAGTGTTGAAATAATGCAACAGAAAAATATCCAAACATTTGTTTTAATAGAAAGTGAGAGACAAGAAAAGTATATAATTTTTGTTGCAATTGATTATAATTTTGTGCTTTTGTCGTATTCTCTAATGTATAACAAATATTTTTGATTATAAAACAAATAGAAATATCATTTTGTAGATAATCATTATCATTACTAAAACATACTAAAGTTATGTTCAACTTAAAAATAAAAATAATAAATAAAACAAACCAATATAATTATCGTATAAGTTTCAGAAAAAAATATTAACTAAAATATTTTTGTATATAGATATATAATATCAATTTTTTGTCAAAATACATTAATAGATAAAAATGAACAAAAATAATTAATTTGAAAGATAAATAAAAATATTTATGGTAACACACTTGAATTTATAGTTAAAAATAATTTTGAATTAAAGCAAATATATTATTTTCTATTGTACTGTATAATTTAATAAATAATTTTGAACCAATATGATAAAGTAAACGGTGAACAATAAATAAAAAATGTTTGAATATTTTTCATTTTTGTAATAACTATAATAAAAGAAATAAAGGAAAATAAATTTGATTACTTTTTCTCTTATTTTTCACTTGAATTATATAATATATAAATCTTTCAATTTATAGTAAAGTTAATGTTAGAGAAAAAAGTCATAATTCACTGCAATATAACAATAATAAAAAATAGTTTGTGCTCTACAGTCAACCCATCTAATGGTCAGTTTTAGATTATGGAGACTTAAGATAGACGGTATCACTAAGTGAGTCAATAAGAGAGGGAGAGTCAGTCATACATTGAGTGAGTGAGTGAGTGAGTGAGTGGGTGAGAGTGAGAAAGAGAGAGAGAGAGAGAGAGCGAGCAATGAGTGAGTGTAAGAGTGAGTGCCAAAAACAGGGGGAAGTTGTGTGGCGTTTATTATAGTTAGTATACAACTAGTAGTGACCATTTAAAATGGGAATGAATTGCCGTTTATAGCGGAGAGACAATGTGTGCCACAGATATAGCATTTTTGATGGCAAAGCCATAAGTCAGATGACATCTAATCTTAAATCATTTCACATTTCGGTTTGAAGTCTTAAAAAAAGTGTAGATATTAACAATTGAGACAAACACTGCTTAGATCTGGCTGTAAGTCAACTGCAAACTAAAATATTTAAGTCCTGTTCCCTGTTATAGCAACCATTGAAGCACATCATAAGCAGGCAATAAATAACAATTACTCTCTAACTTAAAAGCAAACTATATTTATAAGAAACATATACAACAACACCATAGAGGCGATGCTCCGGCACTGGCAGTGGACTACAACAACAACAACATCATCATTGACTGATTGACAGCTCAGCAACACTGCAATACAGTGCAAAACAACATATGAATCAATGTAATCATGAATTTTGTTGCACAAGAAGTATATATTTGGCACAAAACAAGTCGTTTCCGAATGAGTCTCACAAATAATGCCAGCACTCAGACAAATCCCACATGAGATACCAGTGCCGGTCAATACCACTGTCTATCACATGTATTCAATATGTGTGTAATAAATACTTAGTTATAGTGAGTGATAGTATGTTAGACAATGGTATAGACATTATTAGTCAGATATTATCCATACAATTGATAATCAAAACGACAAGAATAACAAAACCATTAACTCTATCGTCAGCTCATAATATAATTATGTCATTCATCTTATACTTCATACAATGCTTTATACCTTTTTTTCCTAATATTATACTCATTATTATCATTAGTACTATTATTATGATTATTATAAGCGTGAAAAACATGTACATTAACTACATATCTTATTTGTATTATTTATTTTTTATTAATGTATAGCTATTGTATTTATAGATTACATAATTTAAGTCAAGATTGTATTACTGAATCTAATACGTGAATGGCTTTAATATCAACCAATAGTAATGCCAAAAGTTTTTAGACTTCATTTTGAAATATTTTTTATTTTGAAATTTATAGCAACAAAACCTAATTTTATAGAGTAAGGGATGGAGAGGAGAGAGAGAGAGAGAGAGGAGAGAGAGAGGAGAAATGAGAGAAGAGATGGTAGGAGTGGTTGTTGGCAATTGAATGCCGTAAAATAGAGAGACAGTACAGGGAGTTGCAGTTTTTTAGTAGAAAACATACAAATTTTATATATTTTATACCGCACTATAAAATTGTTGTGCGCACGCATTCAATACTATCAATACTGACTCTAAAATTAGAGTATACAATCAAATCCCTGTCCTATTGGGATCGTTGTTGATCGGGATTTTTCAATTCAGTTAAATAATTCAAGTAAAATTCATATTACATTTTCATTAAATAAAAAATTACAATTCAATTATATTATCTGTTTTCAATAAAAATAATTCTATGAATTTAATATAATAATTATTTAATAATCAAAAATTTATAACAAACACTTTTTAATAATAGTATATTTCGGTATTTTTTGAGAATAAATCTACACAAACCTACACTATAAAAAATAAGTTGAAAGTCTACTCTAAAATACAAAAAAAAARATTGAGATTTGATTTCATACATGTTTTATATATTTTTATCGATCAATACCCGTGTGTATGAATGTATGCATTGCATCAATAGTAGCACTAAGTAAACGTTGTATCTCTCAAATTCAATGTATTTGCTATATTGAATGTAAGGGATGACAAGCACTTGGAGATAGTGTTATTGAAAGAGGGGAGAGAAATAAATTCACTAACAAAGAAAGTTTAGCTTTTACTTTATTGAGAGAGAAAGAGAGAGAGAGAGAGAGAGAGAGAGAGAGAGAGAGAGAATTGCTTTTTTGAGAAATCAATGTTTTTATATAAAACTTGAGTAGAAATTTCAGTAAAATAAAGATTGCAAACATTGGAAAAAATCGGATGAAAAACAGATTAGTGAAATAAAATGTATGATATAAACTATGCACTGTCTATATAAACATAATATAGTAGATAGATATACAGTATTAGTATAAAAAGTTAAATATAGAGTTACATATATCAAAGTATGTATGTATATATGTATATATAAATGTATGACTTTTACAAACTGTATATAAACAGTATATGTGTCGTCATTTGAGTTTATTTGAGCGCATTAAGTATATAAAAACATTAGTTTTTAGAGTTTAAGACACCAAAAATAATTGTATAAAAAATGTGTTATAAAATGCATGAATAGATAAAATAGAAAAAAGTGTATTATTTTTATTAATGCTTTAATTCCTTCTTTGGATTCTTAATTTTGTCGAGATTTTAATAAAATAAATTGTGTTTTAGTTATAGATTTTATTTGAAATGTAAGTTTTGTTGTTTGTGTCTTAAGTTGACTAAATGCCTAAGATTTGGCATCCAAGCAAAGTCAAGCCATGCGTGTATATATATATATATATATATACTTTATATGTGTGTGTGTGTGTATGTATGTATGTATGTATGTGTGTRTGTGTATGTATGTGTGTGTGTGTATGCATGCCGTAACTATTCAAGAGTTATACTTAACAATTTTAACACACAATACATATGCGTTAGTCAGTGGTCAGGATATATCATATATATATATATATATATATAATATATAGTGTATATTAGTGTCATAGATAGTCCGCATGACAGCACACGAGTTACTGTAAGAAAGGACATACTATACTATGAGAGAGATGTTTGTTAAAGATTATAAAGTAATCATTTGACAAATAGGACAATCATTTTTAATCCAATGCAATGACCAAATGAATAATGAAATTTTTGCCAAATTTCAAATACCATATTGCATCACATACACACATACACACATACACACATACACACATACACACATACACACATACACACATACACACATACACACATACACACATACACACATACACACATACACACATACACACATACACACATACACACATACACACATACACACATACACACATACACACATACACACATACACACATACACACATACACACATACACACATACACACATACACACATACACACATACACACATACACACATACACACATACACACATACACACATACACACATCTATGCGCTCATTCTATCAATTAAACAACAATTCATTCATTAAATAAAGTAGCAGAAACTTATCAGAAAAATATAAATTTATTATTATAAGCATATAAAGTTTATTTAATTTTAATTACTGTATATCAATTTTATATAGATTTTAATATTTACATTTAATAATTTATTTTCCAATGATTTATCAATTGCACAAATAACATACCGGTGCCAAACTCTAAGTAATGCTCAAATGCTCTTTAAATTAATAGTCGTATAGTTTATACGACTTTCTTTTTGATATAAAAAACAGTAATTTTTTACGTATATTTTTCTCTTCAATCTTGAATTTCCTGATAACCAAAAACTTATATTTAAGGTTTACTTTTTACTTCTCTCTCTCTCTCTCTCTCTCTCTCTCTCTCTCTCTCTCTCTCTCTCTTCAATTTTATGATATAATAATAGTGAGCCAACTTTTATAACACATATAAGTAAAAACTATAATATTAGTTAGCCTGCAGTGTGTGTGATAAAAAATTTGACGATATATTGTATATACTCTCAAAATTTCTCTGAGTTTGTCTCTCAGTAGAAATTTCTGCTGCAATACATATATCCTAAAGGCGTTATTTTCTCAATTTATCAGACTTTAGCGTTTATGACAATCCCTATCACTTTTACAACACTTTTTATATGACAGCCCCCACTATACTATACTTTTCTTTTTTTACTTTACTTTAGTCTTATTTTTATATAATATATATTTTTACTTATTTTAAGATATACAAAACATATAGTATTGACCGTAATTTTCAGTTATATGCATTATAGTCATGTGTGTGTGTTTTGAGATTTACTGKTAAAGCATAGGAATTATATTTATATCACTTATATGATAGAAAAGGAAATAAAAGATGAGAAAATCGTAGAAAATATATTATTATTATATATATATTGTATTATTATATACAAAAGTTTACTATGAAAATTGAAAAAARCATTAGTTTTTATCAACACATAGTTATATACAATATATAGTTATATAATAAAAATATTGATAAAATGCAATATTGCTTAGTTTTGCAGTGAAGTGTCATTACAGTCGCGTAAAGAATTGATTTTATTATAAAAGGGTTGTTAACATTTAAATCAGAATATTTCTCTATAAAGGAAATTACAAAAATAACATAAAATAATTAATTGTAAAAATATTAATATTAATTAATTTCAAAGTTTTTATTCATCATTCAATAAAATCATTGTGAGTTATTATTTATTTGATTATGAGTTATTTGAATTATTAATAACACATAATATAATATGCTCTAAAAGTTGGGAATATAAAAATTATTGGAAAATATATTATATTAAATTAATCCTATCAAACCCTATTCACAATATTTGTATTTTGTTTAATAGAAAAAACAATTTTAATAGTTATACAAAAATTTCATTTAATCGATGTGTTACTATTAAAGTAAAAACACAAAGAAAACCATTTAATGTTTATTATTATATTTTCACTTTTTTTTGGCATTTCTGTTGTCATATATTGTGTTGAGAATAATAATGAACACCAAAAATGTGTTAAAATAGTGTTTTCATTAGTGATAAAAAAGTAAAAAATTACAATAACAATAATATTATTATTTTTATTACCATTGTAAAAAAAGTTAACTAAGTTGATTTCTATGAAACATTTACTCAAAAATTTACATATTAAATATTTATATTAAAAAATACTGGTTTTATTAATTAAAGTATTATTAATAAATAATGTTTAATTTAAATTTACAATTATTTAGTTTAAATTAACTATTTATATTTCACTATAAGGTGAGTGTTTTGTAGCAATTTATTGTATTAATTAAATCAAATAGAATTTGCTTTAACTTTATTTTGTATCAAAAATTTATTTTTATCTTAGATTCACGCTTTACATTCAATTACACTTTAATCCACGTCTCTCTCTCTCTCTCTCTCTCTCTCTCTCTCTCTCTAAGTGTTCATTATTTGAAACTGTATTTCTTTACCATTTTGTTGGTTTAATGAAAAGTTTTCATAATGAAGCTGTAAAGCAAATGCACCCCAAAATGAAATAAAAATAATAAAACCTTAACTTTGAAGTTATCAATTGTACGGCTCTATTGATGCTAAAAAATAATGTTCAAACTATACTCAATATATACGAAAGACAGAGATAAAGATAGATAGAGAAAGAGAGAGAGATGTATAACAAGAGACCTGATGTTCAAACGGCAAAGGCATGCGAAACGAGATTTTGTACTCTAGAGTGAAGTAGATTAAAGTTTAGAGAAAAAATAAATAAAAATATATATAAAAATATACAGTATATATATATATATAGAAAATTACTAAACAGTCAGCCAATGCCGTGAGTATGAGTGAAAAGGGAGAGAAAAAGGGGACAGTAGTTGACGGGGAAAGAGATTTTGATGCAATGAAATGACTAATAAAAATAAAGTGAAATAAAGTGAAAAACCCAAAAGTCTAAAGAAAGACAAATTCAGTTCAGAAAAGACATTAACGAAGAATTTTGTATTTTATTTTGAAGAGCTTTTCGCAAAAATTTTTGGATTTAGGGATTGTCCGACACTTTTCTAATCAATAAATATTAGATAACATTTTTGTTTGTTTCAATCCATATCCCTGTTTCTGTCTGATTCAATGGGTTTTAATTTAGTGTATATTATATATTGTATTATATAAAGTATATACTGTACAATATATCGATAAAATAAATTCATTTTTCGCACTTAATTAATATAATTTAACACAAAACCGATTTATATCTCAAATTTTCTGAATGTGTGTATCGGTTCACTACTAAACTTTTATATTACTCTTTGTATCCTTTATATTGTTCTCTTGAGTTAAAGTTTGAGCCAATGTATGATATATACACACAAACATACAATATATTTTTTATTGATAAAACTATTATTATTATATATAAAAATGTATATATATAAATAGAAAAAAAGAAACAGAGAGAGAGAGAGAGAGAGAGAGAGAGAGAGAGAGAGAGAGAGAGAGAGAGTTTACTAGAAATATGTGAATCAATTGTGCGCTAAAGCTATCGTTTTTTATTACATTGCATAGTATTGTATAAGAAAGAGATAACTCTAAAACTTATCTCAAGTTTGCAAACGATTGGCGCAATTTTGGTGCAATTTTTGCAAAAAAGCAATTTTGAGTCAATGGTTCAGAATTTTTTATATAATATTTTTATACTTTTATTTTTTGCTTTCTAGTATTATATATATATATATATTCGTGTGTGTTGTTAGGTTTGTTGTGCTATATATACAGTATTAGAGAATATATTTAGTGAAGCATTTGGATGTAATTTCATCCATAGAGAGAATGCAATTGAAAAGCCAGTGCTTTATATGATGACTGGTGTTTAAGACACATTCAATTGAGGCAATGGCTTATTATATAACTTATTTATATAAATTTTGTGAATTCCAATATAATGTACTCAAAATGTATATATAGAATAAACTATAGAATTGCTTAAAAGTAAAAAATATTTTTAAAATATATATATATATATAAACACATTAAGACATACCTGATGAACAAAAACATCGGGTCCTCCATCGGTAGGGGTGATAAAACCCCATCCTTTTGCTACATTAAACCATTTGCATTTACCCCTACGTCTGGTCTCTTCGGCGTTTTCCCCTATAATTAGTGGCAAACAGACAACAAAAACAACATAAATAAGTACATACAGTGAATAATATGTAGGGTTGTATAATAGTAGACAAATGATACATAATATGGGGTATAATACTAAACATTTTGCCAATAGATAGAAAACAACTTTTATAATTGACTCAAATTGACAACATTTGTAAATTTTWAAAAAAAATATTTGTGTACACATATTATATTGTAAAAATAAAGAATATAATTATTATTTAGTTTTTATGAGATGAGACATATAAACTATAATTTTTTTTGTTATATTAAAATATTTTTATGTTTAATGTTATTTTAAGTTTTTATACATTGATAATATCATTTTCGATTATTGATAAATAATTTTAATTTTAGTTATTTTTAATATATTTTTACGATAATATTTAAATTGAATAAATAAAATTCAATTGATAATAATAATAATAATAATAATATGAGAAACCACACAATATGATTTTTGCCGGTTTACAACACAATTATTTGTATTATATTATTTCACTATATATTTGACTATATAAATAAAAAATATATACTAGGAGTAGATCTTTGAGATAAGGGGGAGGGATGATAAAAAGCAATGAATATACAAATATAAAAACTATACAATTTTGTAACAAAATAGTGTGCATTTTGGTTTTTTTTTTAGTTTTTACCTAAAAAATCTATAACAATAGTGTGCAATAAAAATCAAATATAAATTTATGTATATAAACTTTAATGTTTTGTTAATACTTTTTTATAATGTATACATAACTATATAGATGTGCCGGTACTGTAAACGAAAGCACATGGAGCCATATGTGATTGCGTGCACCGGTTACACGCAATACACCTATCATCATATCTATCATGTTTTTGCATAAAACCATATTATAATGTCTCAGTTGTATTGCTATATATCTCAATATATGGGTGCCGTTGAAATCACTTTTCAATTAAACTGACGATCAAAAAACAATATTAAAAATGAATATAAAATTATATTAAAATATAATTTATGTCAAAATAAAAATCATAATAATCATAAAAAATAATAAATAGTCAATAAATAGAAAGTGCAGACATTTGCTAAAAAWAATAATTGATTTATTCAGATATTGTCTTTGAAATGTATAGAAAAATACATTTTACATAATTTTATGACTGAATATAATCTATAAAAAGTGAAAAAAACTACGCTTAACAAATTGAAAGTAATTTTATATGKGAAAGCAGTGCCCACTATCTCTCTCTCTCTCTCTCTCTCTCTCTGTCTGTCTGTCTGTCTGTCTGTCTATCTATCTTTCATTTACTATTCTCTCCCATTGAAGTGATGTTTGTCGTGCGCCGGCCATAGGATCTGACCTATACTTTTTTAAAGGCATATATAATTTAATCTCTTTTCGCTTTAATATCGTAAAAGTTTGTGAGTGTGTGTAAAGCAAAGTTAATATTGATTTCAATTTTTTGAATTATATATACGAATTGTGATAGAAAATGGCGTCAATTTTATATAAATTTCAGTTAATTTCGGATATTCAATTTTATATTCTGCTTATAATTTTTAATATTAAATTAGATATTTAAATTTCTTATAATACAATTAATAACAATATTAATAGTGTATCAATACTTATAATTAAAATTCATTATTATCTAAAATAAATTTTATAAATTCTATATATATATATATATATAATTAAATATATACACAGTATACTGTAATTTACAAGTACTGTATCATACAATGTAATTATCTATAATATAAAATATTTTAGTTTTTAATACACAGTTTATAATACATTTGTAACTAATATTTATAATAAACTTAAATGTACATAAATATATTACGGTATATTATTTATCATATTTATGTAAATATTTTTGTCATTAAATGGAAATTATTGATATTTCAATTTAGAGCTACATTTTAAGTACATATACGATAAAAAAAATTATTATTAACTATAAAATAAATGAAGTTTCAAAATAATGAATTGCTATAAAACATATATATCATTAAAAATATATAATTCTTTGCAATTATTTTAATGAAAGTGTAATAAAATGTTTTATTTTTGTTGTATATAGTATTTCAGTTACAATATCTCTTATTTGTCCATTTCTCATCTCAATCTCAATTGAATTAAATTATTGATCAGATAAATTCAAACAATCATATATATATAATACTAATACTAAAATAGTCATTTCTATCACTATAGGGCATTAAAAATATAGTTACAATTGAATGGATGGATGTTTTCTTATTGAAAAAGTTAGCACAAAAATGACAAAACTTATATCTGATTGTTGTTTGACAATACATTATGATAGGCAAATGAGATTATGATAGTGAAAAGTCATGTTTTCTGCTTTTAATAAGTGACACAAACTCTAATCATAACAAAAAAWAAWATATTTTATATATCAAATGTGAATTTGTCACAAATAGTAGTATGTTTTGACTATTTTTATCGGCTAATGCATTGGTAACAATTTAATTGAATTTAATTGAAAATCAACTTTCATGCACATTGTTATTGAAATTTAATGCATGACGGCATCAACTAATCTTGATAAACYTAACACATCTAACAAAAACAAATCAAGCAATAAATATACCATAATTTAAAACACTTAACATATAAAGTTTACTAAATAATTTAAAAATATATTATTATAAATAAAAAATTAACTACAAATCAGTATACATTATATGCATGTATTGTATTAAACAATGTAATAATAATAACAGTAATATATGATAAAAACAACATAAAAAGTATTGATATATTTTGTAAATTTAAGTTTACATTTATACTTTCCATTAATTTTTTTATAAATATATCTTAAGTAAAATTAATTATAGTAAATATGTCTAATTTATTAAATAGATACTTATTGCTTCAATTAAAATTTTAAAAAGGTAATTAAAAAATTATGCATTAAAAACAAATTAAATATAACAATTCATTTTCAATTAAATTTAATAAATCGTTTCAAGTATTAGTTATTTCTAATAATTTGAGAGTAAATTTTAATTTTAGTATTTTAAATTTAAAGTAATCTATATACTGTAAACCTGTTTAAGGTTATATAGTATAACTTAAATTATAGCTAAAATTTATTATTATTACTTATCTAAAAAGACATTAAAATATGTTTATACATTCAACAGCTATTTGAAAATATAATTGATGAGATAATTACTATATATTTATAATTTGTGATGTCATTTATTRAACTTCAGTATTATTAAGTCATATAAAGTTTTAATAATATGCTAATTGATATTTACATGATTTATACATTAATTATTTAATAAATATTTTTTATTTTATTCTAAGCATTGAAATGAGAAAATTTTTATTACAATATATCACTTAAAAAATGTATCAAAATATTAATTATCATTTACATTAAGTTTTATTAGTATATTTATTTGCAAGTAAAATAATCTTACAGTTATAGTTTTGCATTAGTTTAAAAAGACTAATACTAAATACTAAAATATCATTCATACTATATTTAACTCTAAAAAATTTTATAACTTTCAATTTTTCCTATAAACCTATATAACATTAAAGCTTATTATAAAATATAGTATACGCTTGAATTTAAACTATATAGTGTAGTATGAGTCACACATTAGGGGCCGGGAGGCTGGCAAATGATGCACAACATTAAGTTACCACACATATAGATATATGGTATAGCGCTTATACAATAGTAATTTACTGATGTTTCAAAATTTTATTAGTAACATAGATATTGTATACAGAATATCATATAAAGTATAGTTTGTTTGGCAAACATGAAAACATCAAAATCAATAGATTATTTCGCTCATTAAAATTGGATAAACAGTCGGTTATGTTACAACTTAACAAAGTTTTTTTTAAATAATATACTTAATGTAATAAATAGTATATTTCATGTTAMTATATGATTAAAATAACATATATATATATATATATATATATAGTATATAGTTGTATAAATAGTATGATAAAAATGATATGATTTAAAATGACACAATAAACAGGAAATTTATAAGAAGTGTTGAAAACATTTGCCACAAAACAGTCTACTCTGTAAATACTGTACTGTAATACTGTATATAACACATACCTTTCAAACAACACGACGATAATTACACAATAACTTTAAATGTTTGGATAACGGTTAGGACTTATATGATTAGTCATATTACACCCACTCTTAATAAATACATGAATTGGTGAATTAAAATATTATATGAAATATTATTTATAAATAATATTTATTATTGTTGTTAACTGTCGGTCAATATGGATAAACTGGTTGTATTGATGGTCAACACGTATGAGACTAGTGTTGAGACTGACTGCCATATGGACTGAAAGTGGACTTGACTTAAACAGTGAATATTGAGTGAAATATAATTACGGTCTCTAATAAAAAACCTCTTCTACAAAACCCACCCATAAGTTGCTTGTGAAAGGAAAGGGAGTTTTCTAGTAGTAGGATATTGTGATAGTCGTGGGGTCAGCTTTGGACAGCTGAGGTGTAAGGGGCAGATAGTAGTAATGGTGGGTTAAAGTCCGGGTATATGTACAGTATGTTTGGTTGGGGGGGGGGTAGTTATTAGTGTGCATGTTATGGCTATACGTGGTATGCCATGAGTTGTTGAGAGATCAACAAAAATATTCATAGCATATCCACAAAATACACACATATATACACATATAGTTATAAGGTCCTGTAGCACACATAGTACCCCCTTTTCCCTTTTGCCGGTGTAGACCAGTGCCCTTCAATAATAGAGTTTTGTTGTTCATAACAGCTGCTCTGCAGACCACCACATCTCTTGATCGCCGAGTGCTCGCTATTTGCACATAACATAACAAAATATATTTTCGCAAAAAACAGACATAACATTCACTGATGTCTACAGCTATGACCTAAACAACACATTCACAAACATATAATATTTGAGACAAATCACTAGGACTTGG